CCCCCGTTACAACTAATTATATGATGATCTAGTAATTACTTGATCAGACAAACACATCAAAAATATATAATTACACCTAATTACACTCAAATTCAATTATAGGGTGGCTTTCCAAACATGCCCTAAATACAATCCGTACCCTAAATTTGGAGAAACAAGCAAACAAAAGTGGTACGTTCCCATTAATGAAATAAATGATTTTTGTAACTATTTTAATAAAAGTTTATTACATAAAATTAATTTAAGAAGTCATACTACAGCTTTTCCTTGTTAATATTACGATTGTTTATGCACAATCATTGTATGTATGACTCATGTAATTATTACAAATCAAAAAAGATATAATATTATGACAAATATGACACATTGGAAAAAGAATTATTTATTTTTAATAATGCAATTATCTTGTAGTATTGGAGTGTAAGTAAGGGTGAATTATATAAAAGAAGATAGATTAGTTTTGGATGTTGATGCAAATTCACAAGAAAAGTTTTGTATATAAAAGTAAAGATGGCTTATTTGCTATCCGGAACTAAAATGATTGATGAATACAGCTGTCAATATGGGCTGTCCAGCCCAGCCTAACCAACCCATACGGGTTAAGCAATGTTAATTACTTAAACATTAAACATAACTAGAATTTTAAGAACAAAAAGTTATTTATACTCACATAAAAAATATTACCAAATTGAGGTTAGATTAATATTCCTTTCTCTATTTTTTATATTTTAATTAACTATATTACCAAGCCCACGGGCCGGCCCAATCCAGCATCAGCCAAACCTATGAGTCACGAGCTTACTTGGGCCGGAATTAATAGCTTCGTATTTAAATGAGCTCAAAATTTTTTAGCCCAAGTCTATTCAATCACGGATTGGGTTGGACCGCCCCAGCAGGCCAAGCCCATATAGATGGTTGAGTAAAAATAGCACGAGCTAGCCAGTTTCAGACTGGTCATTCAAAAATAGACATCGTTTGTAAAGTTATTGAAAAATAGCCACTATTTTGCTGCAACACGGAAAGTTTCAGCATAATATACTGGAGATTGGTGCACCTTCTATGAACTTCCAGCATATTATGTTGGAACTCCAACACGCGGAAAGTTTCAGCATAATATATTGTAGATTGGAGCACCTGCGTATGAACTTCCGGAATATTATGCTGGACCGGTATATTATACTGGAACTCCAGTATATTATACTAGAATTCCAATATATTATGCTAGAGTATTTTACGGATTCTGAACAGTAATTTCGTTCATATTTATTATTACATGAAAAATGCCTAAATTTCAATTACTTTTAAAATTGAGCTATTTTGAATGACCGCTTGTAAATCTGGCTCTTTTTAAATTTCTCCCTCATTTTCAAGAAGAAATTAATTTTGTTCAGAGTCAAAAAAGGAAACATTTCTAAAGTTCCTAACGCAAATAAAACGAAAAGGTAAAAAGATCCGAAGAATCCATGTGCACTTGAAGATGCAATAATTCTTGATTTCTATAGTCGAATTATTTTGTGTCTTTATTTACGTAACCATTCGTATTTGCATTTTGCTTTTCTTTGCATTTTCTGGTGCTTATTTTAGGGAAAATTTCATATTAAAACAACTGGGCTGCCTCCTTTTCAAATTTATAGCCCATATTCAATTTACAATTGACTAGCCCAAAAATTAGAGGCCCATATCCGAAAAAAGGGGCGTTATTTCCGTTTTTTGGGAGTAAGAAGCGGGATTTTCTGGATTTTCTCTGATTCTTTCCAATCTTCTTCCCCAAATACTTCAAAAACGAGATCTTGCGATCAATGCAGCTCCAAAAACCCTAGAATTTCTTCTTCATCTCGAATTAACAGCAAATCAAACACGAAAAGTGAAATTTTTTTGCTGCAAATCAACGCAATTTTCATTTTTGCTGCAATTTTGATTTTAATTTTTTGTTCGATGGAGATTTTTCCAGTTTACGTTCTTCATAGTGGTGAATGGGAAGAAAATAAGTTTATCAATTTCGTCAGCGATTGTGTAATAATCGAGTCGATATTCAGCTACAACAATTTAGTTGCAGCTATTTCGGAACAGATTAGGATCGATGGTGAGTTAAACACAATAGAGATTAACTTTCTCCCAAATGTTGGTTTGCCACCGATCCTGATTTACAACGATACATGTGTTAAGGTGTATATCGAATTAAAGAAGAAAAACTTGAATTTCACTGAATATCCCTTGTTTGTAACAGTGAAAGAGATTTATGATAATCGTTTGGATGCTACAAGTTCTAGTTGTGTAGTTGCTACAAGTTCCAGCTGTTTGGTTGCTACAAGTTCAAATTCTAGAGATGTATCCCAATTGATAGCACTGAGATTATTGATATCGAATATATTGAAAACACGAAATTTAGTGAAAACACGGGTATAATAGATGATATATTGAACGAATTTGTTGAGGAAGATCAAGTTTATAAGGATAAAGAGACAGTTGTCAGTGTGATGAAGAACTTGACTGTACGTGAGAGGTTCCAATTCAAGGTGAAGAGATCAAGCGCAACAAGGTATGTAAATAATTGTATATTCTGTTATATATATGTATAAATATGTATAAAGTAGTATATATTTGTATATAGGTATTAAAATTAGTATATATGTAGTTATGTTTTTGTATACAAGTGTATTTAGAAGTTGAATGATCTTCAATCCTAGGTATAACCTTATGTGTATGGATGACAATTGTGCTTGGAGTTTCAAATCTTCTGCCGTTTTCAAGGCAAACATATTCAAAGTGAGAAGTTACAATAATAATCACACATGCGGCTATAGTGAAAGATACTTAACACAACGTCAAGTTACTTCGGTTGTAATTGCTAGTATAGTCAAGGACGAGTGTGTTAATCCAAAAAAAGTTTACACCGCAAATGATATAATAGAGGACATACAAAAGCAACACGGGATTGAAGTGAGCTACATGAAAGCATGGAGAGCTAAAGAGATAGCAATGGCAATGATAAGAGGGAGTCCTAGTGATTCATATAAGGAGTTGCCGAAGTATTTTTATATGTTAGAGCAAACAAATCCAGGAACGGTTACAAAGTTGCACAAATCAGAAGATGGATGCTTTCTTTATGCATATGTTTCGCTATATGCATCTATCAAGGGCTGGGAGCATTGCAGACCGATAATGGTTGTTGATGGAAGTTTCCTTAAAGCAGCATATAAGGGTACCATATTGACTGCTTGCACACAGGATGGAGCTGGTGAGTTGACTGCATCTACCTTGTTTCTGCAGTTTGTATAATGTTGCAGTTTCATGTATAAAAGTGTATAGGATTTCACAGCTACTGTTTTTATAAATTTGCAGTTGGTATAAAATTGTATAATTGTGTATAACTGTGTATAAGATTTGTATAATTGTCTGAATCCTAATATCTATTTTGTATAAACAAGAAAAATCCTTCCACTTGCATATGCAATTGTAGATTCAGAGAATAACAAATCTTGGGAGTGGTTCTTTGTCCAGATAAAGGGTACTTTTGGAGTTAGGGAAGGGATGTGTATAGTTTCAGATAGAAATGAAAGCATCTCCAATGCCACAAAAGTTGTGTACCCAGAAGTACCACATTGTATTTGCATGTAAAGTGCAGATTCAAGAAACATCACAAACAATTGAAGGATATCTTCTTTGCTTTGGCTAGAGCTTACACGATAGAGAAGTTTGAGTACCATATGACAGAGATGTGCAAAATTGATGCGAGAGTGCAACCTTACTTGTTCGAAATTAGCTAAGAAAAGTGGTCTAGGGCATATTCCAAAGTGAAAAGGTCGATGGTAATGACTTCCAATATTGCAGAGTCAATTAATGCAGCAAACAAGGATGCTAGAGAGTTACCAGTAATGCGATTGCTGGAGTACTTGATAAATTTGCTACAACAGTGGAACAACAAAAACAGAAAAAGTGCAATGGAGACATCTACAGAGCTTGGAGAAAAGTACGACAAACTCCTTCGGGAAAATCTAATTGCATCGGAGCAAATGACGGTAAAATGAATCAAATATAATGATGCTTGGCACTGCTGACTTGCATTTTACTGCTTGTATAAGGATGTATAACTCTGTATAATAATGTATAATGTTCTTTAACTTTTTTTTAAAAAAAAACTTTTGCAGGTGAGGCCTGCTACGGAGCAGTTATATACTGTGTTTGAAGGGGTAAGGCGAAACATAGTGTGCCTTGAAGAGGGAACATGCAGTTGCGGAAAATTTCAAATGGATGAACTTCCATGTCCGCATGCTTGGGCGGTTTTGAAGAACCAGCAGCTGAAACCTGGCCAGTATTGCTCTTTTTACTACAAGAAGGATAAACTCCTTAGAACTTATGAATTTCCAGTGAATCCGATGCCAGATGAGAGTTTATGGGTAATCCCAACAGAGGTGATGGAAGATGTGGTCCTACCACCTAAAGGGAGAAGGAATGTAGGAAGGCCAAGAAAGGAAAGACTCAAACCTGCTTCAGAAAAAGAGTCTAAGAGGGCGTTTTCATGTTCTGTGTGTGGACAAGGTGGTCACAATAGAAAAACATGTAGGAATCGACCAAAATAAATAGTTGAAAACATAACAATTCCTATTACATTTGTTGTCATGTTGAGTAGTTAAGTTTCACAAACAATAGAGTTACAAATGTTGAGTAGTTAAGTTTCACAAGCAATTGACATGTTTCATTATACATGTTTTGATTATCCAATAATAGTGTCTTGCTATTTTTAATGGTACTAAATATATTGATAGATTGTAGAAATACAAAACAGAACTGCTAACAATCAATGGTATTATATGTATACAGATGTATAAATGAGAGTATAAGTTTGTATAAATTTGTATAACTATGTATATTATTGTATAAATATATATAAACCCTGCTACATTAACAAAACTGCAACCATAATGAAAATACATACTTTGTTAAAGGACAAAAGCAACTGATATATTCATTAAAATATAATTCATTCACAGCCACAATGTGTAATGACTACCGCAAATTACACAAAAATAAAAACATCTATAATATCGTTTAAGGATATCTCACAAGTAGCAGAATAGTACTTAGACAAAACTAGGCAACAACTCCTAATACATAGAAAAACTACAGTAAAATGGAAAAAACAGAACTACTTTCTCGGTCGCCCCCTCTTCCTCTTCTTGAAAAGTCTCCCTGTGATTTCATCACCACTAATTGCACCGGACTATTGTTTTTTCCTTCCATAATCCCACAACAGAGATCCCCACCTAGTGCGAAGTGTCTCAATGTCAAAATTATCTTTTCGAATTTCCTTACCAAGGATGAAATACTGAGCAAAGCCAGCAACAAAAGCACCACAATCACTGTAATTAAAAAGAAACAAATCAGATTCAAATAGGTACACTAATAGTAAAATAGTAAAAGAATTGAGATTAACCTACTATTTGATCTGTTGGGGAACATTATTAACCAGATTAATCTGCAAAGCATCAGAATGGGATTTATCGGTATATGCACCATTGTTCCAATCAATGACCTTCTTCTCGACATAAAAATCAGAACTCTTCAAGAAGTAAGGTATCAGAATTGCATAAGGTAATGCAACATCCAAAGCAAGTCTATCATTAATAGCTCCACGGTTAGAGTCATAGATGTGGATGCACCTATCTATGAATGTAAACACCCCCAAAACCCAATGGCCCAATTTTGCTCTTCCGCGCTTCACATAGATAGGGAATAAGACGTGGTCAACAGTGTGCCACGGGACATTTGCATCACAATAATATCCTCTAATGTACTCTTCTATCTCATTCCCTTCAGGAATCACCGAAGGATCTTGATTCACTTTGAAATCTTTATACAGGGAGTTGATTTTGTTACCAAAGGCGAAGTCGGTTGTAGTAAACCGCATGGCAACACTCGGCCCATATTTTCCCCTCTTCCTCAAATAATAAAAGAGGACATCCAAGTGCTGAGACAAGAAATAAAACAGAACAACCATCACTACAAAATTTTTTAAATATAGAAATTGATACACTATTATACAGAGGTATACATATTTATACAAGGTTATACAATCTTATATAATCTTATACAATCTTATACTGTGATTATACGAAGCTATGTATACACTATGGGGGTCTCAAACAATAAAGATATACAACAAATAAAAAAAAGCATTAGAACAGAAATTTATTAAATACCGTGTCAATGAAAGGTCGACCACAATATGCAAGTGAGTGGAACCAATCCTTCGTGGTCACATTACACGAGCCAAAAGTAAAAGCTTCCGCAAGCTTATTTACTTCATCAGGATATATATTTTTGGCACTTCAAATCACAAAAAATAAAAAGTAATCAGAACTACATTCATTGACAAGTATAAAATCAGAACATGAAAGATTAAAGAAAGTGAAGATACCTTCGCCTCGTATCCATCCCATTATCAACAAACGCGCAAAACTCTTTAGCCAATAGCGACAATGGATCAAAATCATCACTTTCGATTGTGAAAGGATGCTTGATATCAAAAATGAGCTTGGGCGGCGATCCTGATGCCCCCGAATCAAAAACTGGCAAATATGGAGATTTGGCATATTTTCCTGGTATTTTCTGTCGAACTGACTGTTCAGGAGAAATGTAATCATCTTCTACGTCTATGATGGATTGTTTGTGAAGCACAATTTGGGACATCTGTAGCGCAGCTAAATCTTTATCGCCAATGTCATCCCAAAATGTGTCACCCTTGACATCACATGCTGCCCCTTAGACAGAGAAAACAAATAATAAAAAACTTTAAAAATGAAGAAAAGAAAAATCAGACAAAAAAAAGATAAAATGCAGAACAAATACCATGATCAACACCATAAGTAACTCCCTCGTCAGCTAGCACGTTATGTTGATTCACTTGATTAACAAAGTCAGGAACAACATCATATTGATAGCCATCAAATTTGCCGAGACCAGATGTATTGTCATCAGACACGCGCTGATGAATATAATAAAAAACAATAGAAAGAGAAGGCATGTTGAGTGATGATTCAGAGAAGGCATAACTGTTGAGTGATTTGGTTTTATCAGTAAACAATTACCTTAGAATCAGTAACATCCTCCCTCGTTTGCTTGGTTTCCTGCATATTCAGAAAACTGAACACTTTTTCAAAGGAAGAAACTACATAATTGTTGAGTGTCGTCACTGTATCAGTCAACTACAACAACAACAGAAAAAGCAAATCAACAACCATGTTTATAACCAAAAAACCATGTATATACAAAAAGTACTGATAAACTACAGAAAAGCTAAAGGTCCCAGTACCTTTCCAACAGCACTCCTCAACTTCTCAACTTCAGCATTCAACAGATCAATGCGCACCAAAGGATCATAACTCGGGTTAGGCTGTCGATCCATATTCTGAGGAAAAGGTCGTTTAGACTGTTGTTCCGTATTCTGAGGATAAGGTTGTTTAGACTGTTGCTCCATATTCTGAGGACAAGGTGGAGATGCAGCGACAGAATCATCAGTGTGAAAGGCAGGCACCACAGGCACCTCCCCTGATGCAATATCATCGGCATTAACTTCAAAAAGCGTCTCGATGTTCAGAGTTGACATCTCTTCACGAGTAGGGGAAATGTTCCTATAGTTCAACTACAAGAAGAAAAACTGGATTACAATAGTAGAAAAAGGAAATTGTGACATATTCATAAATATACAGACAGAAAAACTGAAATCATTTATGAAGAAGTATTATGGTACAAAATGTTTACCTTGTCGATACTACACATGATCACCCCGCCAGTCAAATCCGCATATGTTGGAGTTTCAATCACTTTCCAATTAAGAATGCGTGGCACATTTGTGCCAACGCGAACAGCTAGATGCATGTCAACCATAGAGCAACACTCAAAAAACCATATTTGTAATGCAAGTGGCAAACCTCCAAGCCTATACATTGTCAAATAGTCACACTGTCTATCCCTCATTGTCTTTAAAATATCTTCAAATGACTTTTTTCCCCAAGCATACGTCTGATATTGACCACTTTTAATGATATCAAAATCATCTTTGTTGATACCATGATTGTTGGCATCTGAGAATATGAAATGATGGACAAACACCATCAAGGCCATCTTGGACGCATCTTCGTCCGACTTCCAGTCCTTTTTCTTGAAGCGATCAAGAAGCTGCCCCCTCGTTATAGCCTTTTTTCCATCTCCTGGAAAATACTCTTTTAGCAACCTATTAACATCTGGTTTGTCATATAAATTGGCGTCGTCTTCTACACACTTCAAACCAGTGATAACAGCAAACCCTCCAATGCCAAAACGCAGCAAACAACCATTAATTTTCACCCACAACTCCCTTTCCCGTCCTGGGACGACTTCCCTCAATAATATACAATGAATAAGTTGATTTTGAATTTTAAATTGAGGGAGGTCAAGAAGTACCCAAAACAACTAGCAGGGAACATTTGAAGCTGTGTGTTAGTCAAACATTGCTTCAAAATGCTCATAATATCAGTGTCGGTATGGGAACTAATCCTGTTGTGAAAATGATCAACTGGTTGTATATAGAAGTCCCCAACCTTGCATATGGAAAAATAACAAGAAATAGATCAGGAACAAAAATTATACTAAAATATTTTATAAAAATGTATAAATCAGTGTAGCAGTACTTGTATAAAGATGTATAAACAGCTGTATAACTTTGTATAAAATTGTGTAAGCATGTATAAATCATGTATAAGCAACAACAACAACAACACTCCAGTATATTCCCACAAGTGGGGTCTGGGAAGGGTAATATGTACGGACCTTACCCCTACCCCGAGGGGCAAAGAGGCTGTTTCCAGGAGGCCCTCGGCTCAAGAAAGAAAAAAGTGACGATATATTAGTACTAGCAATAGACTCATAATAAATAACATAAAATAGACAACATAACCTGAAATAACATAAAATAACAAATAATAACAATATAAGGAATATAGGAAATACGAGAAGGAGGAAAGTATACTAATATCTATAATATAAAGCCCTGCATCAGTAGCTGATCAGTAGCATCCTAAGCCTAACTCCTAACTGTCTAGTCTCACTCTAGCGCACTGTAGAAATATTCCCAACTTCCCCTAACCTACAACCTTAATGCTCGACCTCCACAATCCCCTGCCAAGGGCCATGTCCTCAGTAATCCTAAGCCGCGTCATGTCCTGCCTGATCACCTCGCCCCAATACTTCTTAGGTCTCCCTCTACCTCTCCTCGTGCCCACCACCGCCAGTCGCTCACAACTTCTCACCGGTGCATCAGTGCTCCTCCTCTGAATGTGCCCGAACCATCTGAGTCTTGCTTCCCGCATCTTGTCCTCCATGGGCGCCACGCCCACCCTCTCTCGAATAACTTCATTCCTAATCTTATCCATCCTTGTATGCCCACACATCCACCTCAACATCCTCATCTCCGCTACTCGCATCTTCTGGATGTGTGAGTTCTTAACCGGCCTACACTCGGTCCCATACAACATGGCCGGTCTAACCACTGCTCTATAAAACTTACCTTTTAGTAACGGTGGCACTTTCTTGTCACACAGGACTCCCGTTGCTAACCTCCACTTCATCCACCCCACCCCTATACGTTGTGTGACATCCTCGTCGATCTCCACGGTCCCCTGAATAACTGACCCAAGGTACTTGAAACTAACCCTCTGAGGGATGACTTGGGAGTCAAGCCTCACTTCCACTCCCGCGTCCGCCGGCTCAAGCCCAAATTTGCACTCGAGATATTCCGGCTTCGTCCTGCTCAACCTGAAACCTTTATACTCAAGGGCCTGTCTCTAAACCTCTAGTCTCTCGTTGACGCCGCGTCTTGTCTTGTCAATTAGGACTATATCATCAGCAAATAGCATACACCATGGCATCTCCCCTTGAATATTATGCGTAATGGCATCCATCACCAGGGCAAATAGGAAAGGGCTGAACGCAGACCCTTGGTGCAACCCCGTAACAACCGGAAAATGCTCGGAGTCGCCTCCTACTGTCCTAACTCGGGTCTTAGCTCCATCATACATGTCTTTAATCACCATAATGTAGGCACCCGGGACCCCTTTAACCTCTAAGCATCTCCATATGACCTCCCTAGGAACCCTGTCGTACGCTTTCTCTAGATCGATACACCATGTGGAGATCCTTCTTTTTATCCCTGTATTGTTCCACCATCCTCCTAATAAGGTGGATAGCTTCTGTGGTAGATCGCCCTGGCATGAACCCGAACTGGTTGTCTGAAATAGACACTGTCCTTCGCACTCTCATTTCTACCACTCTTTCCCAAACTTTCATGGTATGACTCAGTAGTTTGATACCCCTATAGTTGTTACAGCTCTGGATATCGCCTTTGTTCTTGTACAACGGAACCATTGTACTCCACCTCCACTCTTCAGGCATCCTATTAGTCTTGAATATAACATTAAACAACCCCGTAAGTCATTCCAAGCCTGCTCTGCCCACACACCTCCAAAGTTCAACCAGAATTTCGTCAGGCCCGGTAGCTCTGCCCCTCCTCATCTTACGCGTTGCCTCCATGACCTCATCGACCTCAATGTCTATACAATCACTTATCTCACGTGGGTGGTTGTCGGCATTTCGCAAATCATGTATAAGCATGTATACTAAAACATTTTATAAAAATGTATAAATCAGTATAGCAGTACTTGTATAAAGATGTATAAACAGCTGTATAACTTTGTATAAAATTGTATAAGCATGTATAAATTAATAGCAACACAGGGAATACCTTCAACTTAACTTTTCTCTCATTCAATTTGCAGCGAATAGCAAACCTTTGTTCTTTCGATATGGAATCAAGGCCACTCTCACCATCGTCCTTGATCTTTCTCCTTTTCGGTTTAACATTGCGGCCTACATCATCTTCATTAACCAAATCAAATTTCAGCTTTTCTTTTGATTTTTCAGGTCTCCCACATTTCTTACTCCTTATTCTAACGATGTTAACCGGAGTAGGAGTATTACTTGTTTGCAAACGAGTCATTCGACTGCTCTCTTGTTGTAACTTTTTTGTAGGAGCAGGAGACTCAAAATCATCATCATCGGGAGCCTGGACAAGCGTATTCGCTTCAGAAGCAGGGGTTGAGGTCGAGTCCCTCGATGATTTAACTGGAGTGGGAGAATTCCTCGTTTGCGAACGAGTCATTCTACTACTTTCTTGTTGCGAGTTTTTAGGAGGAGCAGGAGACTCAAAATCATCATCATCTGGCGCCTAGACATTTACATTAGCTTCAGAATCAGGGCTTGAGGGCAAGTCCCTCAATCTTTTCGCATAATCGAACTTAACGCCTTTTCCGGCAACCTTCATTTTGCTTTTAGAAGCAGGTATTTTTTAACTCATTTTCTACAATAAACCAAACAAACAAAGCTTTAACAAAAGTGAAGACAACTGAAGGAAAACACAAAAATCAAACTGTAACAAAACTCAAAAGTGAACCAAAAATAAAGGCCATGAACACAAAGCAGAGGCCAATTTTCCCAAATTGTAACAAAACTCAAAAAATAAAAAATTCTACCCTAAAAGTTGAAATAACAAAGCATGCAAACTGAACATCAAGTTAAGCCTACGAAGATAGAAGGAACACAAAATCAAACGAAAAACACAGCAACATTGTAAGAAAATAGGCATAATCAGAAAAAGCAAAAAAAATTAAAAATAAAACAAAATTCAAAACCAAAACTGTGGTAAAAGCATAAAATGAAACGAAAAATTACCTGAAAATAAGATTGAAAGCTCGAAAAAGTACTTGAACCCAACAATGGAGGTCGGTTATGTTCGTCTCTAAGAAAAGCGCGAGGAAGAGAGAGTCTGAGAAAAGCGTGAGGAAGGGAGAGAAAGAGAAACAGAGAAATTGAAATTTAAAATATTAAAGAAAACCGTTGTTTTAAGTTGTGGGCTACCGGGTGAAAAGTAAATTTCATAACATATACAACATGGGCTAAGCCAGGTAAAGGCTTCAAATATGGGCTATTTTCGAATGGGTTGTATGGACCAAGTGATATATGATGTAATTTCTTCATTATTTTATTTTTTGGTACGAATGAAAATATTTTTCGAAAAATATTTTTTTATATTTTCATGTTTGGTTGGCTTAAAATATTTTTTTCATAAACTCATTTTCCATCAATTGGAGGTAAATGTTTTCCTTATCAAGAAAGGAAAACAATTTTCAAAACTCTTTTTCAACCTTTTCCGCCCTATTCCACATCCCATCAACCCCACCAACTCATTCCAACAAAAGGAGTACTTTCTTTTCGTGATGTAGAAAAAATATTTTCTTTCATTTCAACAAACTTAATATTTTCTTTTTCCTAATGCAGAAAAAGTTTTTTTTAAAATTTTAAAAAAACGAGTATTCTCTTTTCATATTGTAGAAAAACTATTTTCTTTTATTTTCAACAAAACAAACATTTTCTTTTCATGACATAAAAAAAGTATTTTCTTTCATTTCAACAAACTAAGTATTTCTTTCATTTCAACAGAACGAACACTTTCTTTACATGATGTAGAAAAAGCATTTTCTTACATTTGAACAAAACGAATACTTTACTTTCATGACGTAGGAAAAATATTTTTTCTCATTTTGACAAACAAGGTATTTTATTTTCATGATGTAGGAAAAATATTTTCTTTCATTTAATAAAATGAGTAAGTTATTTTCATGTTGTAAAAAGGATACTTTCTTTTCAACAAAAAAAAGTATTTTTTATTTAACGAGCTCAAATCAGAGCGTTATACTTGTTGAAAAAAGTAAAGTAGCACATTAGTTCTTTCGGGTTTATGTGAATTTTGAAAAGAATAATTAAATTTTTAAAGAAAATAGAGTCTCGAGGGGGGGGAGCGCAGGAAACATGAGGATTTTGGGGAAGATGGGTTGAGAAGATATTTTCCTAAAAATATTTTATACTCTAGAACCAAATACTAGAAAATATTTTCCGGAATTTTTTTTTCATTCACCAACCAAACAAAATAAGTGATAAAACCACTTATTTCCATGTTAAGCTAGCTAATACTGTTTCTAACGAAAAACAAAAAAAAGAGGACCCCACACTTCGCATTGTCCTTACATATAATGAATGAATTCTACCATACATGCTAATCATGTACATCATCAACAACAACCATCCAGTGAATTCCCACGAGTGGGGTATGGGGAGGGTAGAGTGTACCTTACCCCTAATCCAGAGAGTAGGGAGGCTGTTTCCGAAAGACTCTTGACTCAACGCTGATCATGTACATAAAATTTTAATATACACCAGAGGCTAGGTTAACACTTCGAACTTCAAAAATTGTACAACCGTAGACTTTCCTTCACATATTTGGTTTCTTTCATTCCACAAACTGATCAAATGTAAGGTGGCTATAGTCTTCCAAATCCCTAGCTCTTTGTGCACTTGCAGCCCTCCTAGAAGCAGAACATGTCCTTTGGAGATTTACGCATCAATCCAACTCAAACAAATGTATCATTTTCCCCTTTACCTATTCCACATGTGTTACTTGTTGCACTAAGATACACGCCTATTCTGGAGATTCTTCTGAGTGAAATAAGCATCATGAGACATCTGTGAAGTAATAAATTGGAGAATCATATTTACAGAAGTCGGAATGATCATGTCTTAACAAGTAAACTCACACCTTGACAGAGAGACTTCAGTAATGAAATGTGATGATACAGACCACATGTTAACCAGGTGCTAATAGCATGTGTATACCAGGTTTTAAAAGCACGAAAGTCAAAAGTTCCAGCACGATACCCGAACCGGAGATATGTGAATAGAAAATACCCAATCTGTTAACAATGGAGAACAGTCAAATCTATGACCACACAAACAGTTTTAATCATTTCCAATTTGCCGTATATATTGGAATAAGAAAATAAAACATGTACTGTTTTTTTTAAGACCGAGAAATCTGCCAGGGGGCAACATACATGTATTTCTTTGTAAAGTTACTTGAGAATCACGAGCTTTATCTTAACTTATATAATAGGAGCAATTCCTTAATGATGAATACATTTAAGTTACTGTCTGCATATATTCACACACATAACTCACAATACTACAATAGACAAAAATGTAACACTCATCTAACATACCATTCAAAGTTAATATGGGATCTCTGAATCACATTTCTACTCTATATAGAACACTTCAGAAACCAATATTAGAAAATGACAGCAACTCGTTTGAATTGGCATGGTTCTTAAGCAGATTTTGACAGTATCAGTTTCAAGTTTCAATAGTTTACCTCGTCTCAAATGTGGGATCTAGCATGGGATTGTCTTGGATGGATCTACAATTAGTTCGTTACTCTCCCTGTATATTTTAAGCAAAGTGAAGTTTAATCAAGTGTATTTTGGGCATTATTTGTGGGTTCTAAATTTGAATGAAGTTTAAACGCAATGGCACTGAAGCTGGAAAGAAATGTGGTGTCCTGGTGCCTGGACGGAGGTATAGTTGCAGGATATTTTGCTTACCAGAAAACTGTTTTGAGAAATTAATTAAAGAATACTACTTTCTCAATCAAACAAAAATGTCCAAATTCAGTGATCTTCTAAATGAAACAGAATTGCTGGAAATAGTGCAGATTCCTTCCTAAACACATAAACAAACTGAGAAAACAAAATGAAAGCTGGAAGCTCACTAAACATAAGCACAAACCTATAAGCATAGAAAGTGATATTTGCAGCCAATTTTAAAGTTCCATTCTCCTGTAGAAAGACATAATAAATTTTCTCTTGTGCTCAACTAAAGATGCTTCTTGGTAGATTTTGTGCTATATGAACATAATAAGCTCTAACAATAACTAAGTCGCACTACTTTGTCCGAGAAGCTTTTGCAATAGTTCCAAAACCAAAATAGATTATCAAACTGGTTCTCAGTTCTCACCAATCATTTTCTTAGAATGTGGTCTCACCAGAAACTATGATTACTTGATTTTACTGACAACGGATGCGGTAGGTTATTTGCTTAGCTAAACCAACAAAACAACCTTAAAGAGTCCTTATAAAGCAGTTTACTCATAAAAGTACTGAAATTAGAATCTAGAACACTTTAGAAACCAAGCAGTTCTTAGAGAGAAAAGTACCTCGTGTAACAGGTATAGCACCACTGAAGGGTGAAGATAGAGCTTGCAAATGCCACTTGATCTTGCACTCAGAAAGCATGATGCTCATGAAATTACCACAGGCTTTCTTCTTTTTCACCTGGAACCTGATGGATAGAGCAAGGGAGGCGAAAAATGACATTCATAACACAAAAACAACAAAAAAAGCTAGTCAAATGTAGTGAGGAGCACATTGGCTAATAAGAATATCTTGCTTTATACTTAGTCACTAAGTTAACAGTACCATCAGAAGGTCTATCACTGCAATAGAAGAGAAATATTCATAACAATATAAATCGGATTTTCCTAGTCTCCAGGGCAATCAAACATGTGCTATGTACATAATGAGCTATCACTTGTAGCTTCTAGCCTATGCAAATACTTTAGCGTGGGCAGGAGCTTATATTCCAAATGAAACGGTTTTCTAACTTCAAAAGATTCAGTCTTGTACCATAGTCCAGTTGTTATTGCAAAGAGTAACACTAGTTACATTCATACAACTTCACACTTCTAAGAACAATAGGGGCTTCAGAAGTTTCACAAGGAAGCGAGCTGCAAGAAATGTGTAAGTTACCCCAGTTGGAGCAGGGGCTCAGATGATGGTATGTGCCATGACTAGGGTTGACTGTGTGTTGGATAAATAAAAAAACAAACATGAACATGCATAAATACTTTTCTTGTGGACATTACCAGGTAACCAGAGAGCAAAATGTCATTTTGAGAAGTAGATTGATAGTTTTAACACCATTTGATAACAAGGACGAAACTTCTTTAGATAACACAGTGCTGAAATAAGTGCTGAAATATGAGATAAGACATCGAACCCCATCTACCGAAATTCTTAAAATAAACAAGCAGAGTTTATACTTAAAAAAGTTTAAAATCCATAATCCAAAATCAAGAAACAAACAATTAAAGGAGAGAATTGCAAACAGATTTGTACGTCTTCGAAGGGCATCCCTTTCCTCCAACTTCTATATATTTTAGTTGACAATAACAATATGGACTATAACCATTTGAAATCTGATGACAATTAGTCCAATGACCAATAAAGTTAATTACTCTTAACATTATTATTGTTCTAAGTAAAAGCTGATTCCCAGCAAAGCATTCAGTATTTTAAATCAGAGAAAAACCACCGAAAACATAACTTAATAATTTGGATACAGTTCCGTAATAATATGCCCTGTCAGGTTTAAAAACTTATGGGTCAATTGCCGGAAAATGACAAATATACATACCATATGGTTCAGGGATAGAAGTTTGGTTTTGATCTTGTTAGCTCTGGTGTTCCATTTATATGTGGTTGATGTTACCAAGACCTAATATATTGTAGAAAACACTGTTTCTACAGCAGTTTCTATGTTAAAGGGAGTAGCTATTGATTCTAAAAAGATAGAAAGTGATAGTATCTCGAGATAACTAAATACCACTTAAACTGATTCCTAGACTTATAACGCGTGCAAATAAGGAAACCCAAATTATTTCTGATATAGAGTGCAACAACATCTGATTTCCAAGATAAAGAAAAGCGGGAAAACAATCAAAATAATTTACCTCCCTCAATGAGCTTGCCTGGAGAGCTCAACCAATGTTCTAATTGTCATTTTCTCAGTTTCCGCTATTCCATTGGATGTGATTTCTTTTGCAAAGGTGAAAGGAAATTGCATAACATGATAGCATAGCCGAATAAACCAAGTGAAAAACAATTCACTTCTTATTTTCCAAGTGAAACACGGGTATCATGTCAAGCAAAGAAGGATCGTCCGCTATAATGTCTATTAATAACTCTATTGTAGTTGCATCAAATGACAAGCTCTTCCCCGTCATTTTCCATTAAAAATGCCTTCGTTTCACTAATTTTGTTGCTTTGGAGAAATCCGTGCATAATTATATTATAAATTGCGTTGTTTGGCAAACAACCATTGTGCTCCATTTTTCTTAGCATATCTTTAGCTTCATCTAACAATCCTTCTCGGCAAAATCCATTAATCATTGTAGTGTATGTTATCACGTTAGGATGTAAACCTATTACGGAAAGCTTCTCAAAAATAGCCAGAGCTTTGTCGAGCTTACCATTTTTGCACAGACCATCTACGACAACGTTGTAAATTTGAATATTTGTATCTTGTCTCCTTCTTTCCAACGTATGAAAGTGTGACATAGCTTCTTCAACAAGACCATTCTTAAAATAACCACTAAGTAAAGTGCAATGAGTGTACGAATCCGGTATGTGCCCAGCAGATAGCATCTCAACAAAGAATTTTTGTGCAGAGCTAGTTCTTCCAAGTTCAAAAAGACCATGCAAGACAATATTGCAAGTAAAAATATCAGGTTTCAATCCCTTTTGAGAAATTTCAAGAAATAATTGCATGGCCTCGTCCACATTTTTGTTCCTACAATATCCATTTATTAGAATGCTATAGCTAATAATACTAGGCTCAATGCTCTTATCTACCATGAAATCAAAAAATTTCCTTGCTCTATCCATTTGACCACACAAACAATATCCATCCATTATCGCATTGTAGGTGATCTCATCAGTATGTCCCCTTTTGCAAAGCCCATTCATGATTGTTTCATACATGAATCTGTTAGGCTCACAGATATTCTCTCTGACTAACTTTTTGAACAAATTAACTCCATCTTTTAACTTATTTTCAGCAAAGAGTCCCCTTAGTAAGATATTAAAGATGACAACATTAAATGGAATTCCTTTCTTCAAGTGAATGGCTAATATAGAAAATCCAAGATCAGTACGATGCATCAGGCAACAACTGTTAATCACAGTACCTAATATGAATACATCAGCTGGAATACCTAATTTCTGCATTTCTCCAAAAAGAGAAATAACAGCAGAGTAATGCTTCATATTTACAAGAGTCTTCAACAATCTCGAGAAGGCGACGAGAGAGGGAAGAGGCTTTGTTTCGACCATTTGACGGAACAAACTCAGAGCATCATCTAAACATTTGACGTTCTCAAACCCTTTAGGAACCCAAGGTTTCCCCTTTGTCGAAATGGAGGAAGAATAATCTCTGGGTGTAATTGCCGAAGCAGAATGAGTAATCACAGCATTGAAACGAGAAATAGCAAATAATGAGACAAAGGGATTACCATTGGGGGAGTAACGCACTGCAGCTCTCATCATCTTCGCTCGCTCTCCAATTTGGAATTGGGTACTGGCAACCCGATCAATTAACATTTGTATTTTCTACCTAAGTTTATAGTTTTAAAAACATTTTAATCCTTTTTTTTTTTGTATCCTAAATTACTTTTTTTATCTTTTTTTTTTTTTCGTTGTCCTCAATTTTTTGAATTACAACATATGCTGCTTATGCAAAAACAACTAAAAAGTGCATGAATTTGATAATTAGTCTTAGAATTATAATCTATATCTATTCTTTTTTAATTTGAATTAATTAATGCCCGTAAACTAGATTTAAAGTATTTCTGTAAAATAAAAAAAGAGCGAGTTTTCAATTACTTTTCCTTAATGTATTGTAGGAAATAATTTCTTAAATAAAAGTTTCACTTAAATATGTATGTCTTTTTCCGTGTGTTTTTTTCGTAGATTTCATAAATTAATAAATACAACAACAACAATAACAATATATCCAGTAATATCCCACAGTGTAAGGTCTGGGGAGAGTAGTGTGTACGCAGATCTTACCCTATCTTGTGATGATAGAGAGATTGTTTCTAATAGACCCTCGGTTCAGAAAAGTATAAGCACCGCAGTAATAAAAATATAGAGAAGAAGGAGCAGTACCAAAAAGCCGTATAAAAGCAGAATAAAAACAACGAGGCAGTAAGGTGATCAACAATGAAAGAACACAACGGTTAGTCATAAAAACATATGTGAGACTGCGTGTTAATACTACTGTTATGAATACTCTAGACTACCTACTCTATTACAGTAATCCTCGACCTCTATATCTTCCTATCAAGGGTCATGTCCTCGGTCAGCTGAAGTTGCGCCATGTCTTGCTTAATCACCTCTCCCTCATCTTCTTTGGCCTACCTCTATCTCCCGTATGCCCTCCAATGTCAACTTCTCACACCTGCTCATCGGTGCGTCTGTGCTCCTCCTCCTCACATGACCAACTACCTAAGTGGTGCTTCCCGTATCTTGTCCTCAATAGGGGTCACACCCACCTTATCGCGAATAACCTCAATTCTAATCCTATCTAACCCGGTATGCCCGCACATCCATCTCAACATCCTCGTCTCTGTTACCTTCATCCTCTGGACATGAGCAATCTAGACTGGCCAACACTCAGCCCCATAAAACTCGTTGGTCTGACCACCACTTTGTAGAACTTACCTTTAAGTTTCGGTGGTACCTTATTGTCACACAAAACACCGAAAGTGACTCTCCATTTCATCCATACCACCCAATACGATGTGTGACATCTTCATCAATCTCCCTATCTCCCTGAACAATAGACCCGTGGCACTTAAAACTCTCTCTCCTATGGATGACTTGCGATTCCAGCCTCACCTCCTTGAGTCTCGCCATTGAACTTACACTCCAAGTATTCTGTCTTGGTCATGCTCAACTTGAAACCTTTAGATTCCAGGGTTTGCCTCCATACCTCTAATTGCGTGTTCGTACCATATCGCGTCTCGCCAATCAATACAATATCGTCTGCAAATAGCATGCACCACGGTACCTCCTCTTGAATGTGGCGCGTCAGTACGTCCGTCACCAGAGCAAATAAAAAAAGGTTGAGTGCCGACACGTGATGCAACCCCATCATAACCGGAAAATGGTATGAGTCCCTACCCACCGTCCTTACACGGGTCTTTACTCCATCGTACATGTCCTTAATCAACCTAACGTAGGCAACAGGTACACCTCTAGCCTCCAAACATCTCCACAAAACCTCCATCGAAACTTTATCGTACGCCTTTTCTAAGTCGATGAACACCATATGCAAGTCTTTCTTTCTCTCTCTATACTGTTCCATCAATCTCCTAACGAGGTGCATGGCTTCTGTAGTCAACGCCCCGGCATAAACCCAAACTGGTTCTCGGAAATAGACACACTCCCCCTCACCCTTAGCTCTACAACTCTCTCCCAGACTTTCTTAGTATGGTTAAGCAACTTGATACCCCGATAGTTATTGCAATTTTGGATATCACCCTTATTCTTGTATACAGGAACCATAGTGCTCCACCTCCCCTCGTCGGGCATCTTCTTCATTCTAAAAATGACATTAAATAACTTAGTGAGCCACTCCAAGTCTGCCTTGCCTGCACTCTTCCAAAACTCCACCGGGATCTCATCCAACCCGGTCGCTTTGCCCCTGCTCATCTTACGCATAGCTCCCTCAACTTCATCAACTCTAATCCGCCTACAATACCCAAAGTCACAACGACTCCGGGAGAGTCCCAAATCACCCAGTACAAATGCTCTTGTCCCCCAAGAGACTTGGAAGTAGGTCTGCCATCTCCAACGGATAAGCCCCTCATCCAACAAAACTCTACCTTCTTAGTCCTCGATGCACCTCACTCGGTCCAAGACCCGCGCCTTCCTTTCTCGCGCCTTGGCTATCACAACCTCTTATCTCCACCTCGGCCCCCGAGTTCCTCATACAAACGACTAAAAGATGCAGTTTTGGCCGTCGTAACTGCTAGTTTGCCTCTTTCTTAGCCAACTTATTCGTCTACACTTTCCATTGGCTTCAGATACGTTGCTTTCTTCGTTTTCACTTTTCCTTGCACTTCTCCATTCCACCAGCAATCTACCTTGTGACCATCAGAGTAACCCTTTGAAACCCCTAGTTTATTTATTATCCAGAAATTAATGAATAAATTGTTCAAAGATCTAGTCGGTGTTATATACTAGTTGAGATAGAAAGGGTATCCAGATGCATGCATGTTAAACATAAGCAACTAAATTGTACAAATAGTGGGACGTTTCAAGGGAAACCAAAAAAAAAAAAAAATCAATTAAGTTAAGAAGTCTAGTTTAAAAAATAATAATGATACAAGACAATAGACAAAATACAAACTCACACTTTGGGAAATGGCATAATTAAGTAACTAATGTATTTATGACATGATATAATACAGAAAAATATTTTAACAAGAAAGTGGGGGATGAATATGAGAAAAATATACCTACTTATTGGTGTGGAATGTTTATTATTTAAATTTTCGATTAATTGTGATAATATTGCTTCAAATATTGCAATGGTTGATCAACATTTCAGATCAAATGAACGTTCATTTTAATCAATAAACCACATAATAGCTTTTATTTTATGTCATAGTTAACTAAACCATGCAAATACATACTATTTTTTCTAGATTAAAATTAAGTCACATTATGGAGGTTATCAATAAAACCTCACTTTTAATGAAATAAAATTAGATTCCACTTCTCCGTAATTCAAAATTTCATCACCCCGCATCAAGATTGAAAACTTTATTTTTTTGCTTTTTGTTGAAGTTTCTCGGCTCTTTATAAATGAATTTTACTAAAAAAATTTATCATAAAAATATAATATCGTACAAAGTAGCAAAGTAATAAAAAAATAAAATTGAGTAGGCTAAAATTGCTATTAGTTTCAGGGGGATAAAAACACATAAGCAACTGAAAATAACTTTAGTCTCATATTTTTAATTTTTATTTACTATAAACCAATGGTAAAGTTGTAAACTACTATGATATAATGTAATTGAAAATACCATATGTATCTCATTTTTAAATGCGCGCGATTGATAACTCATACGAGTGCGATTTATAAGTCGCATTCTGGATTGCGTTTATAATAAGTCGCGCTAAATCAGACTTATTAGAGCAGATGATTAAATCCAACGTTCCCATAAAACTTTCTAGGGTTTAGGTATATAAGGGCGCCGACAACGTTCTGTAACTAGATCAGAACCAATTCTTTGAACGAACGAACTTTCTTTCAAAGCATCTCCAGTGTTCTTAATGGACGAACAAAATGGGACTTCTGTAAATGGTGTTAATATTAAGTTGGAGGAAGAAGAAACTAATGACCTAAGTACAACTCCTGACCATCAAAACGACGACGTCGGCGCCTCTCAACCTCATACTGGAGATGGTGCTAGTCCTGGGTATTTTTACTGCTTTCTCCTTTCCCCTCTATGTGTTGTGTGTGTGAATATCGTTCGATTGTGTTGTTCTGTTACATTTTCCTTTTATCCAAAACCATGCTGAATTTTTTTAGCTTTGTATTAGGACTGACCTCTAGTTATGTAGTTACACAGTTGAATTTACCTCTGTTGTTAAATGCGACACGATTAGTTCCTGAAGCTGGGAACTTTGCGTGCCTTAAACTGAAAAGGGCGGGCAGAGAACAGAGAATATAGTTGGTAAAGTGATGTATTAATTGTTAAGGAAACACAATGAATTAATATGTGGATGATCAGGATATGAATTTGAAGTTAAGTATGAAAAATTAGTCATTAGATTTGAATTAGAAACTTAAAATCTCATTTTGCGTATGAAACAGAAATTTGAGATGGGTTTTGAATTTGATTGACATGATGTTTACTACCTATATTTTGCTTAATTTTATTTATTTTTCAATTTCTTTGTCTGCTTAATTGTTGTTTGTGTTAGTTTCTTTATTGCATTGCATGTATATTTATTTTCCTTCATTTACACTCTGCTTGGGTACACTTTTCGACTTTGACAACACTGCAATTTACTGTCAGAGAGAGTTGTGTATACATCTTTTATGTTTACTTCTGTTCTGATTTGTATTGGATAATATTTTAACTTAGCACCAATCTTTTCTGCATTGTTTTTTTTCTATATGGGGTTGTTCTTGTAGGTGTTACTTAGTTGTTGGTTTGGCCTAACTCATTGTTTTGGCTGAAAGTAATCTTTTTTAATCAAGTTGCACATGTATATTTATTATCTTTTCTTTCTCTGCCGTTGTCTACGCTTTTATCTTTATCAACACTGTAATCTACTGTCAGCAAGAGTTTCAGTGTATGTCTTTTAGATTTTCTTTTATTCTGATTATTATTGGACAAAATCTTAACTTAGCAGCTGTCTGTTGTGCCTTTCTGAACTCCTTCCTATGCGTGGTCCTTCTCACATAGTAATTACCTAGTCGTTGGTTTGGAATCACTGTTTTGGTTGCATGTTCTTATTTATCAATTTGCTCATGTGATTATTGTATTAATCAATTTACTTGGCGGCCATGCAGAAAGATATTTATTGGGGGCTTGGCTAGAGAGACAACTTCAGGTTTGTTGCTTTTTCATCCTATGTTTTGCTCTCCTGCTAAACTAGTTTTCTTTAACTTGCTTTCATGCCTCTAATGTTGCATGTATATCTGCAGCTCAATTTGTCAAGCACTTTGGTAAATATGGTGAGATTATTGATTCCGTGATTATGAAGGACAGGCGAACAGGGCAGCCACGCGGGTTTGGTTTTGTGACTTATTTGGACCCTTCTGTTGTGGATAAAGTCATTGAGGAAGACCACATTATAAATGGAAAACAAGTAAGGTTATATTTTTTGGGGATGTTTTCATGTGAATCTCAGTGTTTTAATAAATTGTCGTTCTTATAATTACTAGTTTGCACTTTCATTTGCCTTTTATTTTCTTTTGGATGAAAAAACTGGGTCCTCATGCTGATATTTTGATATGTGTCAGGTGGAAATCAAGCGAACTATACCTAGAGGAGGAGGTTCCAGCTCAAAAGATTTCAAGACGAAGAAGATTTTTGTGGGCGGCATCCCAACAACAGTTAGTGAAGGTTATTTTTCTGTAGCTTGAAACTTATTTCCTTTCTTTACTAGTTGGATTCTTCTGAAACAAGTCTTTGAGGTATTACTTGCATTTTATATTCCAGATGAGTTCAAAGACTTCTTTTTAAAGTTCGGAGAGGTGAATGAGCACCAGATCATGCGTGACCATTCTACTGGTCGCTCTCGTGGCTTTGGATTCATTACTTTTGACTCAGAAAAATCTGTTGAGGATATCTTGGCTAATGGAAACAGGCTTGATTTTGCTGGAACCCAGGTCAGTATAGCCGTAGTGTGCTTTAATTAGGCTGTGACACTTTATTCTAGATTGTTTCGGTAAACTTGTAAAATATAAGCAACAACCACAACAACAAAAAACCCAGTGAAATCCCACAAGTGGGGTCTGGGGTGTACGCAAATCTTACCCCTACCTTATGAAGGTAGAGAGGCTGTTTCCGAAAGACCCTCGGCTCAAGAACAGCAAAATATAAAGCATTTTTCTTTATCTTCTTTGGACATGATTTTGTTGCCAATGTTGCACTCTTAAATATATATTCTTATTATGTTTTTTTTTTTTATGTTCTGGGCCTTCTGGCAAATGTCCTTAAATTGAATGGGATATTGGGCTTATGTTCTTTCTTCTTTTTTCTTGAAAAGAATGAATGAATGAATAGAGAAGCAGAATTTGCTGTGCATCTTGTGCGTGCTTCGTAAGTTCTACGGCTTGACAAAATGCTGGGAGGTCATATAGTTTCTGTCTTTCCGAAACTGAGTGTTTATGTATTGGACTGTATAATATGCTTATGTTCATTGTGCCACATACTTTTATATCTTCTGTCAAGCTTATCAGCGAGTGAGAATGCTCAAGTTGCCTCAATTGGACTGAGGTTCAAGAAGTTGAGAAGTGCTCCTGTATTTCCCGTACCACTTTATTTATTTTTAAGTGATGATACTTGAGTTGTCATGATTGGATTGACTATCATTACTATTTATGATGATTCTGCTCATAGTAATTTACGTTCATCTGTTACATGATCACAAAGCTATTTTATCAATGGCCTTTTGGAAAGCTTGCTTAACCTCACAGTCTGCTATCCTTTTTTTCCTAATTTGGCTAATAGGTGGAAATCAAGAAGGCTGAGCCGAAGAGACCTAATGCACCACTGCCAGCTCCATCCAAGCGCCAAGGTCATCCGAGAGCTTCATTTGGTGGTGGATTTTCAGATGCTTATGGTGGATATGGAGACTCTGGCTTTGGTGCTGGTGGTCCTTATAGGTCCGGTGGCCCCTATGGTGGTAGATCTAGTGCATTTGGTGGATATAGTGGAGCGGGAATGGGTGGATATGGAGCATATGGTGGCAGTGGTGCCTATGGAGGCTTTAGGGAGGAGGCTTCTTTTGGGTATTCTAGCCGTTATGGTGGAGCTTTTGGTAGAGGTTATGATGTTGGTGGTGGCTATGGAGGACCAGGTGAAGGTTATGGAGGATATGCTGCCGGTAGCGGTGGATATGGCAGTGGATATGGTGCTGGTCTTGGCGGTGGTTATGGAGGAGGTGATGGTACTGGAGGTTCAATGTATGGAAGTAGTAGGGGAAGCTATGGTGGTGCTGGTTCCGGCAGATATCACCCGTATGGGAGATAGAGAACGAAATGTTGAAAGGAGCAAAGCTGAATTTGTCTTTGGCTTGGTGATTTTAAGCTTATGGCCAAAGATGTATACACACAATCAGGCAGTTGTTGAGAGCTAAAACTTGTCTTTTCAATTTTTAAAATGAAACTATAATTTCATTTGATCACTTGATCTACTTAGCTCAAGTTATAATATCTTTTCCTTTGATATCGATTGGCTTATCAAGGAACATTGTGTAACCATCATCAGCAATCTACAGTGTTGAAATTCCATAGCATAGGTTCTATAGCATCTATGCAAAAATTACTTTTTTATTTCGTCAAATTTCTGCCTCTTGTATTTCAATTTTATTCTGGTTCGAAATTTGCTGGTTAGACAAGTTATATTATGCTTTGATGTACTGTAGTGTCAATGTCAAAATTGGCCAATCACGAGTTTACATTCCAAGCTTGTGGTGCATTTCTTATTGTTGTACGTCTTGGAGAAGAAATTGTCAAGGATTTATTGTATACTTCGATAATGTCAAATTTAGTCTGTTGCAGCAGATAATTTGATGTAATTTTTTAATTATTATAGTGTAGAAATATTTTATATTGTTGTTCTTTTAAAAAACTAGCGTGATAAATTCAGAGATACTAGTTTTTGGCTTGATGTATTGTTGTCTATCATTAAATTGCGATAATTTCAACTGTTCGCAATAAGAAAAATCTTTTCTCTATTGAGTCTGTGGACCAGGGAGACAAATGAAGAGTAGACGTGTCAAAGGATAAAAGAAAAAGGGAGTAAACCTGTAGCCACACAATTATACCACAAACATTGTTGGAATGGAAGGTGCTGATGACTAGCATAAGAAACAAAAAAACAAATTCACAGCTTCATATGGATTATTTTTAACCTTATCAATAGTTGAAACAGTTGTTACTACTCATTTTTCTTCGCTTTGTGTCAAAATATAGGTACTTTACTTCTGAAAGCTGGACATAGTTATGAATGGATTTACACAAAAAATCATTTTTAAACGATTTGTGCACATGATCCCATTTAGCTTAGTTGATTTGAGGTAACAATGAGCATCAAGTTTTGAAAAATATTTCTGACTGGTGAAACTAATTATAAAAGGTTTATGTAATTATTGTAATGTATAAATTTATTACACCATCAGATAATTCCTCATAGTAAATCTAATAATATCACTTGAATTCCAAGGTAATAATATACTATAATCGGTTAAATTTAGTTTTTAAAAATATACTAGCAGTATCATATTTTTTTATAAACAAACAGGTATTTAAATATGTTTGTAGGCATTTGGGCATAAAAACTATGAAGTTTTGAAAAAAAATGAAAAGAATTCAAGTTGAAAATGATATTTAATTAGAGTTGTGGCCGAACATGAATACAATTTGGAGTTATTTTTGATTTTTTGTGATTGTTTTGAAGTGAAAATTTTGAAAAATAATTTTTTGAAGTTTTTATAAATTTTGAAAAAATTCAAATGAATTTCAAAATTAAACTTAAAAAAAAGGGGATTTTTTTTATGGCGAATTGGGTATTTAGAATTACAATAAACTTAACCAAAAAAAAGAAAACACAATCTTTTTTTGGGTTGCGTATGAATGAAGGAAGAAAAATGAGGAAGAAACCCAAATAAAAATCTTCACTTTCGATCAGGGCCTTTTTCTTCTTCTTTTTAGGAGTCAAAGAGGAAAAGAAACAAGCAGGTGGCAGGAAGAAAGTGATAAGAAATGGCGATGGTATCTAATACTAATGCATTCCTAAAGGTACAATCTTTATATAAAATCTGTTATCTCCTCTCTTTATTTATTTTTTTACTTTTGTTGTCCCTATGGGTGTTGATATTGCTAAGAAAATTGCAGTCACAGATGCACCAAGTTTACTGCAGAAAGAAAGAGAAAGATAAGGGTCAAAATCCCCAGCCTTATAAAGTCATTGAAATTTCTCCGCCTCCAAAGAACCTTGGCATACGCTGCTTCCCCTCTGTAAGCTTCAATTTTTCAATCCAATTTTTTTGTTTGATATAATGCTAATGAGCTAGAAAAGTTGATTGATTGATTGATGTTGTGGTTATTATGTTTATATGCTAATGGTCCTTTCATTGTACTTGCTGTTTCTTTTATTATTTAAATTTAGTTAAGACTTAAGAGACCAAATGTCATCTTACTTTGATGGGAAGAGTAGAAAAGAGCTTTCTTTACTTTGAAATACTTGTCATCTGAAGTAGAATTGTGAAGAGTAATTCATTTGGTTATATGTTTTTTTTTTTGTGCTCAATATAGTGGTTGCCTTTCATTCTCTATAGAGTTCAGCACACTTAGGCTGATTGGCTAATGTTGAGTGTCTTCATTTGTTTTGTGGTATTCTTCTGGTCACGTTTTGGGGTTCAATGTAAAAGGATGGGTTCATTTGTTCATTTGGGGTTAATTTCACGTTCCTTTTACATTCATGTGGGTGAATTCTCTATGTTCTTTCCGCTATATTCAGGTTAATTTCATATCCAAATTTCTGTACTGTGCATAGAGCAATTTTTGTTGTGCTATGCCTCATAGCACACCAGCTTATATGATACAATATTGAATTTCTTTGGTATCAATTATCATATCTTAAAGGCATCATCTCTATGATTGGACCAATAGGCTTATAACAGTGTTGGTTATTACTCTGTACAAAATATTAGCAATGCTCGTAGTTTTTCTTACCAAGAACCAAAACTAAGAGGAAAAATTTTCAAGTAAAAATGTGGGATCTTGCTGAATTCTGAGCAGTGGGTGAATTTCCTTGCATGACATAAAAAGGGAAAAAAAGGAAACAAAGGGCAGATTTTTGAAGGTGCACATACAGATTCCTGTGATAGTGTCTCTCACTACGTACCTTATTGAATATAGACGCCGGTTCATTGACAGGAAATGGTTTAATGTGGGATCTGTTAGAATAAGATGCCTTCACATATGTTGGACCTGTATAAATGTCCAAAGCTGCAGTTCTTTTTTATTTATTGATGAAGGTGAACATAACTTAGTTGAAGTCTGATACTAGACTTATGTGTAAATACTAAATATTCTTTGAGAATTCTTGTTTAAATTGTGGATAACTTGGAGCTTTATGCCTTCGCGTGAAGTGCTGAGACTATATTCATAAAGCAGTCAACATCTATATGGTATTCATGCCAATCGTTTATGATTTCCTTCGCCTAAAACTTGACCTGATTCAGTTCACAGTTAGGTATTCATGTCAATCATTCACGGTTCCCTTCACCTAAATCTTTACCTTATTCAGTTCACAATGGTTAAACTGACCAAGTTTTGGTCTCACTGTCAACATGATTTTTGCAATTTCCAGAGAACAAATTATATGTGAACTAGGAGTGGCAAACGAGCGGGTCGGGTCGGATATGGTTCGGGTCGAAAACGGGTAATGAAAAACGGATCAATTATCCGACCCAACCCATATTTAATACGGATAAAAAACGGGTTAACCGGAAGATAATATCCATGACTTCTTGTATATGATCACTTTTGGGAGAATTCTTAGTCTCCCTAACTTGAGGAACTCAATTTGAGGCTTTACAAATGTAAAAGTTAGACCCATTGGTTATCCATTGGTTACTCGTTGGTTATCCATTTTCTAAATGGATAATATGGTTCTTATCCATATTTGACCCGTTTTTAAAAAGTTCATTATCCAACTCATTTTTTAGTGGATAATATGGGTGGTTAACTGTTTTCTTTGAACCATTTTGCCACCCCTAATGTGAACTGCAGATGCCAATACTTCCCTAAGTTGTTTAAGAATGAGATGATGTTAGCTGTTTATTTGGGAAAATTGTGTTCAAAGCAAAATCTGTTTGATTCTTCAAGTAAATTGGTCAATTTTGGGGATACGACAATGATATTACAGAAGATATATGGAAAGCTTCCTTCCCTCAATGCAGTTGACCTTCTAATCCATAAATTTCTTTTGCAAGGGTTGCAATTTGAAAAAGAGCACAGCATAACAGAGGCAAAAAACAGAGACAGCAGTATATTGCAGTGTAGTTGAATGAGTTGTGCCCTAGAGTTGGTACCATTGTGGATTTTAAAGCGCGCAGTGATGCAGGTGATTACAGTTCTGAAGGGAAATAAAAACTAGTGCAACCACTTAAGCAGAGGAGTATAGCTTTCCTCTTATAGGGAAGTGTAAAATTTGTGGTGAAGCAGCATTGGGAAGACATTTAAGTTAGTATTTCTGATTGAGTGGAGCGTTTCCCCTGGTGGCATTCAGGGGAGAACTGCCCATCTAGGCACAAGCTAAGGCCAAGCTGCGTTAATTATTCAAAAGAGAAGATAATGAGATATAAATTGGTGTGTCATACATGGCCTGCATATAAGTGATTCTCCTTTGTTGTTGAAGAGGTAATATTTCGCTGCCTCTGGGTTTAAGGACCCTTATCTATCCAGTCTTGCTTTAAACTCTAGATCAGAGCCTCATATGCCAGCCTCTAGTTCTGCAGTCATTGTGCCTGCATTAGCGCAGTCGTGTAAGCATTTTTTTACTTTACTTCAAGGTGTTACAAGTTGATGAATTTTTCTATTTTGGATGTGATGACTGAGGCTTCGTTTATTCTATTATCTGTTCTCTTTATTCATCTGGGACATTGGCGGATTGAAATTTCTAGAACTAAAACATTAAATGATCCTCAACAGTTAGGCCTTCTAACTGGTGGCTTTTGGGTCTATACCTGGTCTTTCGAGCTGAGCCAGTCATTGGGTACTGTATTGTGATAGTTATGTATCAGAAGAATCATTCTCCTTCCCTGAATCAAGTCTCAGAATAAAAGTGATGCTGTCAACATTTAAAATATCATCCCCCAGTGGCTGATGCCAGTTCTATTGTGAAGGGAGGTTCAAATTTGGAAAGGTTGAACGCCCCTTAAGGGGGACCATGTATCCTTTTTTCTTTGCTGCCCATCAAAGACGAGGTCCGGTGCACTGTGTGAGTGATGAGTAAGACAAAGACATATGACATTAATAGGAACCCTGTATTCCTGTCATAAGAAGCACATTTTGATCTCTGAGGTCCCATATCAAAGATATACAACCCTCTATTATCATTTGTGTTATAGTTCCTTGGTGATCATCTCATTGGTTGTACTTGTTCTGCTCTTGGAGACAGGAAGAAATTAAGAAATGGGGTTCAATGATTCACCGTAAAATCTAACAGTGAAGAACGAATCTGATAAAAAAAAAACGGTTTTTGTTGGATCGACGGAATCAATCGTACTTTCGCTGCTGTGATCAATTACACATACCTCCCTCTCCTAACCGACCCTTTCTAAACGTCGTGAGACAGTTCGGTCCATATCCTGTGTGGGCGTTAGAGCATTGAGAGGACCTTTCCCTAGTACGAGAAGACCGGGAATAAATTGACTGATTATACTGTCATCAAACTCTTTGTGCATTTAATTTTAGGATCTGGCTTAGCAGTGGAATTTGTTTGTTCTCTCTTTTTCTGGTTCAGTACTGGGAGATGAATGTAGAAGCATAGCCCATGTGTCAAAAAATACAAGTCAATAAGAAGTGATTTACCCGTTCATGCAACCACTACTCTATTATTCATGGTGTTGTTACACACTTTATTGGCAGTTAGATTAAGACTTAGAACTAGTCATATACGTCGTGCTTTTCTTGTTCCAATGTAACAGTCAGATGTTGGCTTGATGTGAAAGTAAGCGAGCCATACACACTGCAACAGATGCCTTTCCTATATCAACATTCATGTCAAACAAAAGACATGTGACCTTTCTGTCATGTTTCCAATAATGCTTCACTAATTCATTGAACTGGTATATGCATAGGGCCTACATAAGATTTTGGAATTGAAAGACATCTAACATTGCCTTGCAATTGGGGTATAGTGTTTGATGGTGTCTGGTCTAATAGAAAGTTCATTTTCAATGACAGAACTTGCAGTGCGGAGAGAGTGTAACCATTGAAGGTCGAGCTTACACCATTTCAGCTGTAACTCATCGTTATCAGCTTCGAAAAGGGAAATACGAGCCTAGCGAGAAGAGGCTTGATGTGTTGTCTACTGGAAGATACATCTTAAATTTGTACTTAGAAAATTTGCTAGAACAATCTTGACTTTGGTGTAGATTATTTTTTCCCCTTCATCTTTATGTATACATTATAAAATACAACTCTGTTGAATTGCCTGTGTCAAAAGAACTTGTTCAATATTTTGCTGAAATATACCTCAATCGTACATCAGTTCCTTAATATCAAACCGTATCACATTCTTGAGAGCCCTCTGGGATGAAAGAAGGATGTCACAACCAGAGGCGGAGTTAGGATTTTAACTTTATGGGTTCTAAATTCTAGGATAGCGACATAAGGTGCTGGTAATTGGGTTCTGAATTTCATTTTGTACATATTTAAAGTTAATTTCTTAATACATATAGAGTTTGGACAAAAGTTACTGGGTTCGGACGAACCCGTACTTCAGCTTCTAGCTCCGCCCCGGGTCACAATTGCAGACTAGGATGGGTTCAAATCTCAATAGAAGTAGAAGTACACTAAAGTTCCATCTGCCTAGGTCTTGGTGGCAGAGTTAGGGGGTACTACCTATATTGATAAGTAGCAGGTATGCAGTAAAATAGGCAGAAATGCGTACAAATTAACTGGAACACTGCTGTTATCAAGTACAAAGAAGGATGAATGTTACCAGGGAGGAGAAAAATCTATAAAAAGAAGGAATTGCTAAGGTATTCCTATATTTTTATGGTAACAGAAACTTTTCAATCATAGCAGGCAAGGAACGAACTCTCTTATTACAATGACAGTGATGATTGGTATAAGCTTAAAGCATGTATAGTTGATTGCAGACAGGGGTCCCCAAGATAGCAACCACTGTCTCACTATCTTTTCCACCACGTGTTAGGACACCATGTATTCAAGCAAAATACCATTTTATATGTACCTGGATTTTCTCTTCTCAGTAGCCTACTTTAAAAAAAAAAAAAAATCGTAGTGTCCGGACCAACTTACGACCATCTCAACTAATTCCCTAGGTATTTGTTACCTTCGACCAACACAGATAATGGTATCTTTATTCGTCAACGCTTAGATAAATGGGAAAAGATCACCTAATATGCTTCTCTGAGCCGAGGTCTATTGAAAATAACCTCTATCTCCACAAGATAGGAGTAAGGCTGCGTATACACTACCCTCCCAAATTCCACTATGTGAGATTATATTGAGTTTGTTGTTATTGTTGTAAAATTTGAACCTGAGACCTTACGGTTCATAACCCATATTTTCTCAGTATAGCCTATTGAGTGACTGCTTTAGGATTTTCAGCCACGAATATAGTTTACATACTTGTCCAAGAAAACTGATCTGGTGGGAATGGGAGGTTTAGGTTGCATGTAATCATCCCTCCACACTCCATTAAAACTATTAGTATATCTTTGAATCCATAAAATCCAAGGATCTACGTGCAGATTTTGTTTGTTTAATCATTGGTCCTAATTTCACTGACCAGACTAACTTATATTCACACTAAGTCAGTCCACTAAAGAGGGTAAAACCTTCCTACTAAAAGATTTTTCATTCATCCGAATTCGAATTTGAGTTCACACCGGAATGATCTACTAAAGAAGATAAAATACTCCCTTACCGAAACCTTTTTTTTTATTTTATCAGAGTTTAAATTTAAGACCTTAAATTAAAAGTGAAGATATTCTAAAAATTCCATCACATTTGTTGGTTGTGTGTTAATATGACTCAAAATCATCGAAACTTTGGCGGATGTAAGATTTCAATCTGGTGGTCATCGTACAATGAGACTTAATTACTATTTAGTAATTATGTTGCTACGTAGTGCGTAGACTAACGATCAATGAATTGAGCGAAATCCATCAGAAATTAAGATTTAATAAAAATAACCCGGTGCACTAAACTCCCGTTATGAGAGGTTCTATTTTACGCAGTCTTACCCTACATTTCTGCCAGAGAGTGTATTCTTCAGATTTATAATTTAACATAAACAAAAAATACTAGATAATTTATTATTATTTTTTTCGAATCTTAATAGGTGAGCTATTTGATACAATGCTAGTTTGGCGGAGTATGGTGGAATAATTGACCCAAATTTTGCTCCCTTTATGCACATGAATCCTGAACCCTAAACCCCTTATTAGTGTGGCTTAAAGAGGAAAACAAAAAAAGAAAAAAGAGAAACAATTATTCAGTCTTGAGATTTTCTGGATCAGAAGACTTTGTAGTGATTATTTCACAAGTAAAGGATGCATTGCCATTGACCTCTGCTGTTATATAATGAATTTCTAAATAGGGGCAATTTATCTAAGACAATATTTTTCTTTTTGTGGAAGTAATTTATTCATCAATTTTGGCGTATACAGAGGTTAGTTTAATGGTTTTTTATAAATCAAAGGAACACGACAGGCGGTCCACATGCTATGGTTCCGGTTCACGTGCGTGCATGTGAAACTCCTTTCCCTGTCCCGTAATTGTAGTTATGCATGTTTGTATTCAACTTTAGTGCTTCTCATCATGTGATTTACTTACTTTTATTATTTCTCTACTAAATTAGGACAAAATAAGTGGAGTTTTATAACGTACTATTCGTAGTAATGTTAGTATATGTTAAATTTTAACTTTTCCTTTAACTTATAATACCTTTCCCAATTAAAAAAAAAAAATACCTTTCCCAATTTACCAATCAAGAGGAGGACTAATAAAAGAGATGAATTCCTTTTATCTTCCTCTGAAATGTTACCTTGCTTAGGCATTGAGTATTCAATTGTTGGTCGAAGACCAAATATTTAACCCCTCCCCCTCTCCCCTCCCTCCCGCTCCCCCTAAAAAGGAAGATTTTTTTCACTTTTAGCCAGCATCAAAAACTATTTATATTCGATAGCCGAAAAAGGTATAAAATTTGTATATATTTTGTATATAACATACAGAATATATATATATATATATATACACAAAAACTATATATTTTTCGACTATTATTTTGAGAGTGATTATACAATATTATATTCCCAAAAAAAAGTTTCCAAATACTATGAAGTTATTTTGTAGCTTAATTAGATGACAAGGCAAGCTAATGTGAAAGATAAGTAAATTATAACGAGCAAATTAATCCCAAGTAACATTTTGCTTTTCAGTTTTTTCTTGTGTGTTGTGGGGCGGGGGAATTGAATTCCTAATATTGGTGAATGAACCTTTGGTGAGAAAAGAACTCTCTACTTTTGTTTTTCCATCATTAGCCAGTAATATTACTAGTAAACATAAAAAAAAAACTTGTGCCGTCAGATTAAACTTGAATTTCAATTCTCACGTAATAGCGTAGCAACTAATGGTAGTAAACGTAAAAGCTATTTGCGCCGTCAGATTAAACTTGAAGTTTAATTCTCACATAATAGGTAATTGTGTATAGTTTATCTCTTTGTTTTGCCATCTTTAGCAACTAAGGTTAGGAAACGTAAAAGCTGTTTGCGCCGTCAGATTATCACAAATTTTATACTGTAATTTTGACCTTCCAATCTTATCAATTAATTGTAGCAACCAAGTGTTCCTTCAAATACACTGAAACTTCAAATTAACATGAGAAAGGAAGATAATTAAAGTTAAAAAGTATAAAAATAAAAAAGCTAATCAATCTTAGCTTCCTTCTACACGTCATTCTTTGCTTGAGCATATACACAACCAAGTAGCTTCCTTTGAACTATTTTGACCTTGAGCATCAAATGTCAAACATGACTTGAGTTACATTGATATTTTAGGACAGAAGTTTCTTTCAAATAAAATTTGTCACTTTTTTTTTTCATTCAGTATTCTGTAATCGTATTAGGATCTCGGTAATTTGAATTTGCACTATACAAACTCATTAAAAAGAAAGACGCTTCCTATATATTTTATTTTTATTCTCAAGCTCGAACCCGATACCTCTATAGCTGAGAGTGAAATTTGTTACGCCTTCCATAGCATTGAGTATTACATAATTTGAATGTTAGAAGAAATAGTTGCTTCATTTACCAGAATTTTCTTACCCTTTCTTTAATGATATTTATGTTTGTACATTATTCCTTTCTCGTTCATTTAATATCCCATCATTTGAAACTGAAATTTCTTATTCCAAATTTAAATTTTTAAATTTTAAAAACCGAAACATCTTAAATAACCATCAGAAAATCTGCTTTTCCACTTGCATGAAATTAATGAAAAGGAAAATGATGCATGAAATTCAGACGCTTTTTTTTTTTTTCAACTTTGTGACAGTCAAAAACACTGAAACATTCAGTAGTAAACTTGCCAGTGACTCTCGGTAAAAAAGTCAGCAGTAATAATAATAATAATAATGAATAAATTATATTTTCAGTCCTCTCTTCCACACTCTGTGCCGAAAGTTACAGTAATAGTATTTATTTTTGTCTTTTCGTAATTTACGACAAAAAAAGAGAGAAGCATTTGTATAGGATTACGATATAAATGTTTACAGAAACAAGAAAAGGTGAAGATGAAGAAGAAAACAGAGAGAGAGAGAGAGAGAGAGAGAAATTTACTTAGCTATAGGCTTTTAAGCTTTGCTCTGTTTCATTTGCCTTTTGTTTGCTTGTTGGGAGCTTCGTTTTGATTCATTAACTCTCTTTTTCTCCCAAAATAATTACTATTCTAGCCAATTATCCAAATTATTTGTTTATCTTTTAGCCGAAATTATTACAATTACTAACTCATCACTCTTTGTTGTTTCGATCGGATCTGAAAAAGGGACTCAGAAAACAATACAAAGAAAAAGCAGTTCCCGAAGCAAAGCTGTTACTCTTTTTGAGCGAGTTCGCTTTTCGTCAATAATTATGACAGATCATTCATTCTTCTGCATTTTCTAATCAGGTGAAATCAACAACCTCTGACTCTTTTTTTACTTTTATTCTTTCTCTGTGCTGCAGCTTCAGCGTCATGTAGCAAGTTTTAAAGTGAACTGATTTTTACAGTACTTTCTATTGCTCAAAATCTTTGATTTCTGGTATCATGTGATCGGTTAGTTGAAATGTAATCACTGACTCAGAGGCTGAGCTTCATAGTTTGAAGGAGTTCAATAGAATTACCTTCGCCTAAAAATTATATTGCGTATACAGGTAAAAGTAAATTTCTATGTATTACATAAATTATTGATTCTCCTTGTGAAAACTTCTAGTGTAGTTGTAAAATGTGGCCCACAGTTGCTTTAGATTGTAGGTTTGAATCACAATTGTGTGTCTAACATTTTTTTGAATCCTCTTGTTAGATTCATGGCTCCGTCAGAGAGTGAGTTGTGGTTTCATACCTTGAATGATTAGAGGCGGAACCGGGATTAGTTTATGGGTTTGGGAATCTAGTCCTTTTAAGTTACTGTGTTTGAAATTAATAATTTGTACTTTTTCAATGGATTTCTTAAAACAAATAGTACATGATTTGAACCAAAGTTACTGGGTTTGGCCGATCCCGTAAGCTAAAGGCCAACTACTTCGTCAATTTGTTTATTGACTTTTTGTTGCATTATGTGATCATGGCATCAACTCTTGTTTGAAAGAAGTAGTAAAATTTAGTTAAAATGACATTGGTAGCTAAATTTCTTCAATTTTAATTGTGTGATGGCAGTGTCTAATACCAAAGAACTCAATGGAGTCACTTGTTGATGGAATCAGTTCCTTGCCAAATGGTCACAGTTCTTTCACTGCTGTTGAGTACAATACATCTTTGGCCTCCCAGATAAGTCCTCCTCCTCATTCTCCATCAATGAAACAATCCGATTCCAGATACAAAGAGTCATCTACATCATATCCAATAGCTAAGGAACTTGGCTCCAACACAACATGTACTCCAAATGTATCAGTGACTAGTTCAAAGCATTATTATAAAACATCCGGTGATCATATACTGAGGGACAATGCCTCTGAATCGACGAGACACCATTTTGAATCCAATGAAGGGAAAAGGGAATTTCAGGAAACAGAAGATACTATCAATCAATTAGCAGAAGGTTGTTCAGGAGAGCAGTTTTTAGTCAAGGATTTACATCATGGTTCCAAGGATAGTACTTCAAAAGCTACTGCCAAAGGAGATGGTGATACTTTAAAGATCCAGTTGCCATCTCAATCAGGAATCAGCTTTTGTCCTAGTCCTCAGAACAGCTTTTATTCCGCTACACAGTACACAGAAGCCAAACAAAGTTTCTCAAACACAGAAGTCAGTGAATGCGCTAGCAGCACTGTGGACAAGTCTGGTGAAAGTGGTGATGTTAGTAACTCATGCGATTTCGTTGAGAGCAGAAAGACAAGTTTCAACAGAGGCAGCACGGGTAGTGACGTTAGTGAAGAAAGCAGCTCAAGTAGTCTCAATAGCGCAACATATAAACCGCATAAGGCAAATGATACAAGGTGGGATGCAATTCAAGCCATTAGAACCCGTGAGGGAACGTTGGGCTTCAACCACTTCAGACTTTTGAAGCGATTGGGATGTGGTGATATAGGAAGTGTTTTTCTAGCAGAGTTGATTGGAACAACAAGTTTCTTTGCGATGAAAGTGATGGACAAGGCAGCTCTAGAAAGTCGCAAGAAACTTGTAAGAGCTCAGACTGAAAGAGAGATATTGCAGTCTTTGGATCATCCCTTTCTACCAACACTGTATTCACACTTCGAAACAGATAAATTTTCCTGCTTGGTTATGGAATTTTGCCCTGGGGGTGATTTGCATGCACTTAGGCAAAAACAGCCCGGGAAACTTTTTCCCGAGCATGCTGCCAGGTCAGTGTTTTATATGTGTTTTTTGTATCTTATTCACGTTTTGTTCTGTGTTCAAGATCTCCAACTATTACTGCAAATGATAAAAGAACATTTAGCGTTGCTGCCTGGATAAACCAATATGTTACCGTATGTTATGCTATTGGAAAGGCTGGCATAAGTATTCTTTCAACAAACCTGCTATCATTATTCCGCTTTAAGTGTCCTAAAAATTGGTTGAAATGGGAGTACTTTTGATCTATTACATAAGGAAGATTCTTTTCTCACCTCTATAGGCCTTGCTGTTCTATCAGTGATATTTTGCACTGTGCTAAATTTGCGATGACTTAGTTTCTTCCGATTGTATTGTAGAGCATATATGTTTGTTTGCCTTGACGTCTTCTCACTTAAACATTTGCATCTCACCCAAGCTATTCTTGTTTTTTTCAACATTGAGCTCAGACCTCAGAACCTTCCTGCTATGTTCACTTCGTTCTTTTCCTGTTGCATGCTCTCATTTTTTTTTTTGGTGTCATTTGATTTGAAAAGGAAACTGACTGGTGTAACGTAATTTTTTTCTGGTGCTGACATAGTTGATTATAACTAAGTAGTTTCACTAAGCCAAAGATGAGTTCATTCGGATGAAAGATTGAGATATTTACTCTTTAATGATTATAAATAGTACAATTGTATGCTTTTTGGTTGCCTAGCATGCACAATATTCACAGACATTGCATCCTCTTTGATCAGTAAGAGCAGGGACGAACCCACATGGCCATAAGGGTAGTCAATTTGACCACCCTTCGTCGAAAAAATACACTGTGCATATAGGTAAAATATTACATTTTAGAGGTATATAACACATGTGGGATTATACTCGGTATGTTGTTGTGTTGTTGAGGTATATAACTCATATTGAACACCTTTTGTCGGGAATTTTTTCACTTCTTTCAAATTTGAACACCCTTGGGGAAATTCCTCGGTTTCTACTGAGTAAGAGTGCACCTGTATTTATGCTTCAAAGAATAATACTATGTTTAAGATTAGTTATGATTTTTACAGTTAACTTCTCTTTTGGAGTATAGGTTTTATGTGGCTGAAGTTCTTCTTGCATTAGAGTACCTGCACATGCTTGGAATCATTTACAGAGACCTTAAACCAGAGAACGTTTTGGTACGAGAAGATGGTCATATAATGCTTTCTGATTTTGACCTCTCCTTGAGGTGTGCTGTTAGCCCAACTTTAGTTAGATCCTCAAATTCAAGCTTAGAGTCCAAGAGCTCATCCTACTGTATCCAGCCATCTTGTGTCGTACAGCCTGCATGTATCCAACCTTCATGTTTTACACCGCGTTTTCTAAGCAAGCCCAAGAAAGAAAAGAAGTCCAAACCAAAGACTGAAATATACAACCAAATGAACCACCCTCTTCCGGAACTCCTTGCTGAACCAACGAGTGCTCGATCTATGTCTTTCGTGGGGACACACGAGTACCTGGCTCCAGAAATTATTAAAGGTGAAGGACATGGCAGTGCAGTTGATTGGTGGACATTCGGGATCTTTCTCTATGAGCTCTTGTTTGGACAAACTCCGTTCAAGGGAGCGGGCAACAGGGCAACGTTGTTTAACGTTGTTGGTCAGCCCTTGAGATTTCCTGAAACACCTACTGTTAGTTTTGCTGCAAGGGATTTGATAAGAGGTTTACTTGTGAAGGAGCCACAACATCGCCTTGCATATAGGCGCGGGGCTACTGAAATAAAACAACATCCGTTCTTTCAGAACGTAAACTGGGCACTTATACGATGTGCTAGTCCTCCAGACGTACCCAGACCGTGCATGACATATGATATGCCCCGAACACCACCAGCAGGAAAGGTGGCAGGTGTTGATGTGAAACCTTCAGGTAATTATTTCGAGATTGATTTCTTCTGAGTAATTCTTTTCCTTGGCAGCAATGTCCCGTTGCACTTATACGAAGAGCCAGCCACGTTGAAGAAACACCTGTTTTTTGTGTTCATTTGATTATGCAAATGTAAAGTGCAGACTCTGTGGAAATGCAAATGCAAATTGGATGTTGAAGGCCATTTTTCCTTGCACAATTTTTCAGAATTCAAACTTATATAGAGCGGTCAATATGGGCTTGGCCCGTTGGGCCGGCCCGGCCCGGCCCAGCCCGTGATTTAGCAGGGCTGGGCTAGAATTTTCGGAACCCATTTAAAAATGAGACTTCTAAGCCCGGCCCGAGTAAGCCCGTAGCTCGTGAGGCTTGACTAAGGCTGGGTCGGGCCGGCCCGTGGGCCTAATAAAAATATGTATTTAAAATATATAAAATAAAAATTTATATGACAATAAATAATAAGAAGAGTATCCCAAGCTTAAAGTTTTATGCTCATCATATTAAAAGATCAAAGTCTTGAAACGTTAATTAGTTTTAAAATTTTAATTATACTTAATATTTAACTAATTAATATTGCAAACGAATTGTAAATGTAGATGAAAGTGAAGATGTTAAAACAACCTTCTAACATGAGGATTAAAATGTGTTTGATGAAGATCATGTGTTGGATATACGATAAGCGTCATGGACGTTCTCTTGAATAGTTTGCTTTAAGTTTTGACTTTTAGTGAATGAAATGGTCTTGTCTTTTACTTTTTTAGTGTTTATAGTAATATATTGGAACAATATAAAAAGTTATTAAGTTTGGTGAAATTTTTCCAATAAGATTTTTTTAACTTTTAAATAATTATCTTTTTTTTGTTAGAACTTAAAGAAAAAATATAAAATTATATTTTACAAAAATAATGAGTCGGCCCGTGGGGCCCGCAACCCACGTAGGGCTGGGGTGGGCAGACCATTATAAGGCCTATCAAAATGATGGGCTAGCCCAGCCCAGCCCGTCAATTGCTTAAGCCCACGTGGGCTGGGCTGGGCTAGCCCGGCCCGGCCCATATTGACAGCTCTAAACTTATACAACTTGAAAGAATTGCTTTCTGTACATGGTTAAGTATGTTGTTAATATTAATGAAGTAGGCCTTGATGTGAAAAATAATGTGGCTATAAAACTAGGCATTACTGGATGTGATGTTTCAAAGTTTACAACCGAAGAACCAATAGATGATGTGCAATTGTAACAGCCTAGTCCACTAGTACTATTGTCCGCTTTGGGCTTAGGCCCGCACGGCATTAAAACGCGTCACTAGAGTAAACCCAGCATCTCTTCCGTATTTTGTTGATGTGGGATTCGCCTAGAGTGTCACAATAATGATTCAGTCGATAAAAGGGACAATAAATACTTGTTTAAATTGGAAATACTGTGAAAAATCTTGGGTAATTATCAGGGGCGGATCTAAAGGTTTGAGTATGGGTACCCGCCTTCCCGGAACCCAGTAACTTTTGGCTAGATCGTGTATTTGTATTAAGAAAATCATTCAATGTATAAGAATATTTAATTGGGAACACATTTCCTTAGTCCGGTCATTATAATATACTAATTCGAAGTCGATATAAAAACCCATAAACTTAAAATCCTAGATCCACCTTTGATAATTGTATAATCTTAATTCAGCGAATCAGCTAGGAGCAAGACTGCCCATATGGAGAAGTGGCAATTTTAGTCGCTCTTTCTTATTGACCATTTTAGTATTAATTATTCAACACTGACCAAATATAGCCCATTAAAATACAAATAAAGGCACTTTTGGTCAAATCTAACAAAACTTAAATGGATTTTGTTACAAAAGGAAATGGACTGGTCATACTCATACATAACACAAATACGTTAAAGAAAAGAACAACTTTGCTCTAAATATGAAAAAGGACAACAAATACTATGAATAAAAAAGAAACACGATCTAGTAGAATAAAGAATGACTGAATGGTTTATTCAGTTGTATGTAAAATGAGACTTTGACAAAAATACGAAGCGATCCTACGATAACAAGGAGCTATTCCACCATTACTTTTGACAATCACGGCCGCAAAAATTCATGAATTTGAATATGTAGTTTTCTTATGTTAAGGGGATTCAAAATTTATATATATATATATAAACAGGAAAGTTTATTTTTACCTTATATTTGCATTATAATTTTCTCCCTATGGTCAATTGATTTTATGATCAATTACATATTTTAGTTTTATGTCACATTTTCCAAGCGATCTATATTTTTGTATATAAAAAATTTAAATATAATTAGCAACAAAGAGAAAAGAACATCATTCTTAGAGTATAAGTTTAATGGAGATATAGTTTTGGCCGAAGTCTTCTGTTCGAAGTCAAAATTCGGAATTATTCGAGGTTTTGAGTTTGCGGATCCGAAAGTTAACTATTTTCAACTTTGAAAATCACTAGATTGTAACTCGTAAAAGGTAATATTTAATCTCCTAGTTAGTTCAGTGAAATGTCATGATTTAAGCATGAATATTGTGCGTTAATATTTGTATTAATTTTCTTAAAAGTTTTGCTGAATACAATGTAAGTTGGTGTTTATTTAATATATGATTTACCTTCATCAATCTCTATAATTTAGTATATATAGTTTTTCTGAAAATATATCTCTAGTCTTGGTTGATTTAAATCATCTTCTAAGGTCAGTCCTTAAATCTAGGCTTAAACACTTGGTTTAATTAATCCTTGAAATCATCTTTCTATTAATTTTGGCCAGTCATTCTTGTAAATAGGACATAAATTATAGTAAGTTTTTATTTTTTATTTTTTTTTATAAGATTATGATAGGCTTTTCTCTATTAATTTTTGTTTGTTCTTCTTAGAATATACATTTACAAATGTTTAACTATTTGGCCATGAACACTAAAAGTTTTCTTTTTTTTTCGAGTGTTAGTATTAGTAGGAATATTTTAATGAAAATCTCGTTAGTTGTATTAAATTCTCCAAGCTTTTACTTACCGTAAATTATTTTAGTGCAATGTTGCCTATCCTAAGTTAATCTAAGAATGTAAATTCTTTCTTTGTTTCATCATTCAAGAATAAGGTAGAATTTTTATGAGTTCGTCTCTTTGTTATAAAAACTTTATTTTTATTCTGTTAGCATCAACAATCTTCTTTGTAAATAAATTAGATGTTTTGAGGCTAATCTCTTGAATATATTTCTTTTATATTCCTACCGATAATGGGATTATGGGAGAATATATATACTAATTAGGTATAGGCACATTTCAATGCCTATTCATAGGATATACTTATAAGTAAAGAACCTGAGTTTCGAATTACTTCGAAGTCTTTTATATAAATCAAAAAGAGTGGTAAAAAAAAATTGTGAGAAAGCGAGATAAGTCACAAACTAACTCAAGACTCGTAGAAATAAGTGGACAAAAAAATATACAAATATATGTATCTCGAATCTAAAAGAGACAAAATAATTGAAATACTCTAAAACGGTAGAAAAACTTGGAATGTACTTTCAATATTAGACCATATGTTCATACCCGAACCTTGGGTTGATACGCTTAAATAATTAAAGGATCATGTGCGCATCCCAGCGTCTCGATGCCTTTAAATTTAAAACAATTATATTTTAACCATGTGTACATTCCCGTATCTTGGTTTAACTTCCAACTTCAAAGAAGAATACCTTGTGTGCGTATCGCACCTAGGTGAATGCATTAAAAAAAATATACAATAATTAATTAAGCGGTAATAGATAAGCCATGTGTACATTTCGTATCTTGGTTTAACATTCAATTTCAAAGAATACCTTGTGTGCGTACTGCATCTTGGTGAACATAATTAATAAAATACAATAACTAATTAAGTGGTAATAAAAAAAATGCAATAAAATACAAGAATAGCCAAAAATTAATTTAAGCCTTACATTAGTCAATAAAAGCGACCGTGCTAGAAATACGGGATTCGAGGGGTGCCTTACACCTTCCCCTCGGTTAACAGAATTCCTTACTCAGTCTTCTGTTTTCGTAGACCATAAATTAAGAGTCAAACCTTCCTTTTGAAAGGGGATTCAAATAAAAAGTGACTTGGAACACCAAAACTCAATTCCAAGTGACGACTCCAAATAATAAATAATTCCTTTTCAAAACGTCACTTTAATTGGAAAAACTCTTCCAACTCAACCACGTAATAGGGTTGTGTGTGGAAAAAAAGAGGTGTGACAGCTACCAGTTGTCACAAGGGTGATTTATGTCACTCGAATTCTGCCCGAGGTTCACCTCCGTGCGGCAGTCAAGCCCAGCCTTGACTTCAGCCTTTCCAACACTTAGTTTTATTTTAGGGACGTTTGAACTTAGAATGAAAATAGGCAGCAAAAACAGTAAATAAAGGCACACACGATATACAGGAATTTCTTCCCAACTCGTATTAATATGTGAATACAAGAACACAATAGCCAACCCTATGGCCAAGACAAAGAATTCCCTAATTCCCTGCCCCAAAATGATTTTCCCACCTTTAGGAAATGACTTAGACGATTTTGGCTTCACAATGCGTTAGACTAAGTTTCTGCCCCGTTTTGGACAGCCTAGGCAAGTATTTATAAGGCTACAATCAGTTGACAAGCCCCAACTGATGGGCAAACAAGTTAAGACAAGTACAAAAACGTGCCCCCATTTTAGGCCATGATCAACATGTCTTGGAAGAGGTTGCAACTGTCAACTGTCTCCCATGTGCTTTGCACATGTTTTTTCAAATGCTGCCTGTGCACAACATGTGCCTATTTCCCCCAGCTGCCTTGTGCCCAAGGCTGGCATTGCGCCCAGCCTTGTCCTTGACACTGCTCCGCACCCATGTCATGGCCCCAGCTCGCCAACCACTGACTTAGTCGCACACGTTTATTGCCATAATTGCCCGCTTATGTCAAGTCGCCCCCAACTTGATTAAATCTGCCCGCATCAATTGTCATTGTTTGTCCCGCATTGTCTTGCCTTGCCTTGCCATGTCTTTGCCCCTACTTTGACATGGCTTAGCCTTGCCATTGTTTTGCCAACCTGCACGTCCAAGTAAAATGTGCCTTGCTTCCGTTCAAGGTGCGTTTGTCAACCCCGCATAGTCCGTCATGCCGAGCAGCCCATCATGATGTTGCCCAATTTTTCAGGTTGTGTGCCAAGGCCATCATGAAAATCCTTGTCACAACCCACACCTGCCAAGGACCTTTGTCAAGGGGCTAACAAACCACCCCCACCAGAAGAATTCGTCGTCCTCGACGAAGCAGCTTCCGCATTTTTTAGCACCACCATAGGCCCCAAATATGTTGTTGTTTGCTCATGTTCTTCCTCGTTTGGCTCATCTTCAATCTTTTCTTCAGCAAACATAGCTGGAAGCCGTTCAATTCTTGGACAGTCCCTCGCCATGTGTGGTCCTTTGCAAATAAAACAACCATCAAACTTGCTGTTTTGTCCTTTGTTTGTCGAAGGTCCAGCACATTGCTTTCCCTTTTCATTGCCATTGCCCTCAACAGCATTGCCCTTGTCGTTTCCGTTTGCCTCCACTCTTTTGCCTTGTCCTTGTTCCCGTTTTTGGACTTTGAAGTAGTAGAGAAATCAGAACCATCTTGTCCCAATCGAAAATCACCCAACGCATCCGCAGCAGCGATGGCACTAGGAAGGTCTTTCATATTCTGCCTTCGTAGTTCCATCTGCGCCCACGACTGCAACCCGTAAAGGAAATTATGCAGCTTGTCTTCCTCAGACATGTTGCTTATATCCAGCATCAAAGAACTGAATTCTTTGACATATTCCCTGACCGTTCCAGTTTGTTTCAACTTCTTCAAACGATCTTTAGCAATACAGCCCGCATTGCTAGGAAAGAATTGAACCTTCAACTCTTTCTTCAGCCCTTCCCAAGAGTCAATCTTCGGTTGTACTAGCACTTACATCATCTGCCACGCGCGTCCGCCACCACAGCTTTGCATCGTCCACCAAGTACATATCTTGCACTTTGGCAGCATGGAAGTACTGCTCCATATCCCACAGGAAGTTTTCAAGTTTCTTGACACTCCTTGCACCATTAAACTCTTTAGGCTCCGGAATTCTGACCTTGGTACGATCTGCCCCATGCTGTGCTTCATCATTGCCAACAGCACGATGCAGCAACCCATTTTCGTTTTTAGATCTGTACACTCCTGGCTCAGCTTGTTCATCTCGGCCTCAAGATAGGCGAGATGAGTTACGATAGTCAGAAATTGATCCCCATCAACAGTTCCGACGAGTGCCTCTAATGCAGCAACCTTTTCCCTCAGTTCTGCGTTGCCACCAGCCATTCTTCACAAAATTCAGCCACTGAACGTTGTGTCTTCGCCCCGATCCAGCCACGCTCTGATACCAGTTGTCACAGGGGCGATTTCTATCCGTCGAAAATACTGCCCGTTGTGCGGCAGTCAAGTCCCCACTTGACTTCAGCCTTGCCCAATTTTCTTTCCCTTACGAGGTTTAACATTTAGAATCAATTTAAGGCAGCATAAAATAAACGAAGGCACAACAGATTTACGGGAACCCTTTCCCAACCTTTTATAAAATCAATTACAAAGGAAAATTCTCGAGTTTGGCAAGGTGATGCCACCCTTGGCAAACACCAACTCCCAAAAATAGCCGACACTTGCACGAATCTGCCCTATAAAAGCCCCTGCCTAAGGCGTCTCGTGCTGCCCACTCGTTTGGCAAGGCAATGACACATATTTTGCCATGCTCAAGCCTTGACATAGACAACCCTATGCCTATATCTTAGACTATTTTCCCTCCCTAGGTACTTAGCCTGTTTTTGGGGCTGCTAACACACATATATATAGTGTAGTCAGCCCAAAACTGTTTTCCTATTTTCAGTTGACACCCCCAACTGATAGGACATGATCCCTATGATAAAAAACGTGCATGTCATGCTAGAACATGCCTAAAAACGTGCATTGACTTAGCCTATAATCAGCAACTCTTGGACAAGGGCAGTTGTAACCGCCCAACTGCATAGCATGTGCACAGCACACTTGAAAACCACTCTATGTGCGCTGCATGTGCGCGTTTCTGGCCAACTGCTGCACGCCCAAGGCTGGCTTTGCGCCCAGCCTTGGCCTTTGACACTGCTCCCGCTCAAATCCATCGCCACAGCTCGTCGCCCATGACTTAGCCGCACGCACGTCCGCTGCCACAGTTGTTTGTTCTTGTCAAATCGCCCCTACTTGATCAAGTCTGCCCTTTGCCAATGCCAAGCTGATTTTGGCATCAAGTCACCAAGCCATGATGCCATTCCTGTTGCTGAGTCGTTTGCCCACAATTTACTTAGGTGCCAGCCCGCTCACCTAAGTCATGGCAACATCATATTGCCAATGCCACTGCCTTGGCACTAAGCTGCCCCATCTTAGCGCCGAGGTCTTTCCCGTTTTGCCTTGTCAAGCTTCCGTCCAGCCCGCCTAGTTCCGTCAAGGTCTTGGCCTTTGCTTGCACGCAACCCACTCATGTTTTAGTGTAGTCCGTCACACCATAGCCCTCAAATAGAAGTGTAGTCCGTCACACTTGCCCTTGCAATAGTTTGTTGCCATCGACAACACCCGCATTGTCTTGCATGTTGATTTCCCCCGCACATAGGCCAATGGCAAGGCCATCATGCTAAAATCCTTGCCACTGCCGCGCCGCTTGCCGATCAGCTTTGTCAAGGGTCTAACAAACCACCCCAACCAGTTGAATTCGACACCCTCGTCGAATAAATCCCAACACATGCTGCCATTTGCAAAGACATCACAAATTCAGCACCCGTTTGAGAATTACATTGTCCTTGCCCTCAAGTGCAACGTTTTTTCTCCTTTGCTTTTCCTGTTCGTCATTCCCACGGCAAATCCAGCACGCATGCAGTGTAAAATTTTTTCTATTGAAATTGTAAAATGTATTGTTAAATTTATACTCTCTCAATGTACTGTATAAATTATAATAATGAAAACAAAAGACTTTGATCAGTCCAAAAGAGGAACAAGCAGAAAAATTAATAATTTAAAGAAACAAAAAAAACTAACTCCAAACTTATGGGACTATAATGACCACTTTTTGTTAATTTAAATACGAAAATGGAGCGTGACACTCACGATCCACCGGTCGTTGTCAACGGTATCATTTCATTTCCTCTTAAATGCCAATTCAGTCTCTGCCTTGCAAGGCTTCCCTCACATGCCTTTTAAACATCTACGGCATTCTCTCTCCTCAATCACATTTTACTTGCACTTCTCTCCAACAATCTCTCCAAAACCCTCCTTCACTCGCTTCTCTGCCGCAATCCTATCTCACGCGATGGCCGGAACACCGGAAAACTTCTCCACCGACGCTACTACTCCCGCCGTTACCGACGCCGAAGCCGACGATGTTAAGTTTGGGTTTCAGCGTGCGGAGATGTACCAGAGTAAACTTGCGGGTACTGCTACTTCCTACGATCGTCATCTGTTCCTCTGCTACAAATCTCACGAGACTTGGCCTTCTCGCGTCGAAGCCTCTGATTCCGATCTGCTTCCGATGTTACTCTCTAATGCTCTTAAAGCTCGTAAGGATGATATCAAAATTAAGGTTAGTTTTAACCTAAACTGATTACTTTAGTTAACGGCTCTACGAGAAACTTCTAGACTCGAATTAAAAGTGAGGTGGATGCCGTTCGCCTAATTGAAATGCCACGTAATCGGTGGATTTGATACTCTATCAGCTTTCTGAGTGTGTCACTGGAATAATGCTTTTAATTATTTTGTGTTCTATAATTATTCTTAGAGCGGGACTGATAGTGCGAATTCAACTAATTTGAGATTGAGGTGTAGTTGATTGATTGATCTTGATCGCTTGTTTATTTTCGGTGATTGTTTGTTTTAGACTATGTTGACGATTTGCGAAGTACGTGATGACATGGAAGTATCAGATGGAGATGTTTTGATTTTTCCTGAAATGATCAAATACAGGTAGTTTATTTGTTTGTTCATTTTAAATTCATTTCTTTTCAAATTTGGCATTGAGCAGCAGAAAGCTGATATTCCTTGATATTCCATGTATTATGGGATGAATGAAAACATTACCTAATTTTAAGACAAGAAATGAGAAATAAGCATTCATGAATTTGACTCGATTCTATTAGCTGGATCCCAGCTTTTTTATATCAGAAGAAAACGGTCTTGATGTAGGTAGATACCGCATTGAAGTTGCCCGCATGGGTTCGTTCAAGTGGCAAAGGTTGAGGGACTTGTGACTTAGATTACTGGTTTGGTTCTGCATCATGCGAACTAAGCCTGGTATTTAAGTGGGGATGGGTAGAGGGGCTGGCCAATTATCCCCAAGTTTCAGAAGCTGCTGGGTCCTAAGGGTTGACCCCAGACAGATTCCTCGGCCATCGAAAAACAAAGATACTGCACTGAAGTTGCTTTTTTACTTTACATGCTTTTTCTTTGGTTGCTTCAATATGTCGATCTCAACTTGTATGCTTCGTCCCAATCAATTCTGTCTCATGGTCGATATTCACGTCTTTTGTCTATGATGAAGGGATTTGAAGGAGTCGGATGTGGATGCATTTGTTGATGATGTGCTTGTCAATGGCAATCCTTGGAGCTCTGGATTGCAGAAGTCGCTGAGTGGTTCTTATGTGTTTGTCTGTGCCCATAGTAATCGAGATAAAAGATGTGGTGTTTGTGGACCAATTCTGATTGAGGAGTTTGGCAAGGCGATTGAGTCCAAGGGCTTGAAAGACAAAGTTTATGTGACAGCTTGTTCACATATCGGTGGCCACAAGTATGCTGGTAATGTCATAATCTTCAGTCCAGACAAAGATGGGAAAATTGTTGGCCACTGGTAAGTCCTATTCTTCTCTTATAAAGGAAGACCTGGATGTTGTTTTAGCACTAGACTGCAGATCAATTTGTACTCTAATAAGGGTAGTTCTTCATGCATTTTTGAAAATCTTTTACCTTGGATAATTATTTACTATAGCTAAGTTTTTTGTATTTGGTTGGATGTAAAGGTATTTCACATATGATAATTGTAGAAGGTGAGAGAGGTGGCAAGGGGGATGGTGTTCTGGGGATATTTTTGAGTGCTAAATTGACACTATTATTTACATATTGGTTGAAGCAAGTGAAATAAATTAAGAGTTGTGCTACTTTAGAGGATGGCAAATTTTTCCCATTCAGTTCAAAACATTTCTGTTGTGAAAAGATGTTGAACAATTTAAGCCAACGTGGAAAATGATTTCATAAAGAAAAATACACTTTCTAGTTTCTAAGCAGCACGTTAAGGGTCAAATAAAGAAGCTTTGCATTAGACTGTCCATTACAGACATGTTATAAACTTATATGTGCTCTGTGCTGCCTTAATGTAGGTATGGCTATGTTGCACCAGATGATGTACCTGTTTTGATTGATGAGCATATTGGAGAGGGAAAAGTCATTGAACGACTTTGGAGGTTTGTATTGGTTGTCCTTTCCTTTGTTTCACTTTTGCATGCTTTGCTGTTGTTTTGCCACATGGTGCAAGTTGCAACTTTTCTGTTCGGCTTTTGGAGGATTGGTCCTTGGCTGCTTGAGGAAATATCATGATGTTTTCCATGGTTTCAAACTCTAGCAAGATAAATCTTGTTTTTCAACTGTGAGCTTGTGCTCAATGTACTCTTTAACTATGTGATTTGCTCATACCTATATCATTTTTTGAGGGAGCAGCAGTTGCTTCTTTTCGTTTGAGGTGGAGCAGGGGAACAATGTTAATACTTTTTCAGTATCACTCACTTACTCAGTCTCTACTACTAAATTGATCACTTAAGCTCTTGTCATTATTCTAGATGTTGTCTATAGAAATGGATTTAAGAACTCACCTGTTCCTATTTGCTTTGCAGTTTCCACATGAAACCAGTCACCATGATTCTTTCCATTATTACAGTTAAACTGAGGTGTTATTTGCGCCATACCTCCACATCTTCTATTTTCCCTAAGCAAATTTCACAACACTAAGAAGTGAGTTTAAGATGTATAGTTGTCACAATCCAAATTTCCCTCCGTTGGGTATCATGATGACACCTAGTCTTAGGGACTAGTTAAGCCTAACATTAAATGAAACAACAACAATATTTAAATAACATCTAACAATTTGAAATAGAAATCTCTTTAAAATTTACAACCCTAGAACTGTAGTACAAGTCATAAGCTCTACAGAGTTTGCTAGAAAACCTCTAAAATACAAATGTCACAAAATAAGAGTGAACAATGTAAATACAAAATAAGAAGGTGACTCCGAAGCCTGCGAACGCAGCAACAAGTTTACCTTGAGTACCCACAACAACGATCAGCACATCTACTAACTATCAAATACCTGGATCTGCACAAAAATTGTGCAGAAGATACTATGAGTACATCACAGCGGTACCCAGTAAGTATCAAGACTAACCTCGGAGGAGTAGTGACGAGGTACAATCAAGAAACCTACTGGACTAAATAACCTGGTGACAAGTATAAGTACAGAACAACAGAGTACAATATCTATATAAAGACTACGACAATGACAAAACGATACGGTAATTGCAGTAAGAAAAGGAAAGCAGCAACTAACAACGGAATATCATAATAATAACAAAGTAGGATGAGCCGAACACAGTTTAAATCCGGTGATCACAGATAAAGGACATTTAAGTAATAACTTAACAAAAACGTCCGCTTTCACATTAGGTTTTAGCCAATAACCATCACGAGGTACAGAACCTCAAAGTATTCACAATTCAACAACAACACAACCCAGTAAAATCCCACCAGTGGGGTCTGGGGAGGGTAGAGTGTACGCAGACCTTACCCCTACCCAAAGGGGGTAGAGAGGCTGTTTCCAAGACCCTCGGCTCAAAGACAATCGATTTGTGACAATCAAAACCTGAAAAATAATATCAGCAACGTGAGAGACAGTGAATAAATGGAAAAGCAGTAGCACAAATATTATGCAAAAGTATGAAACACAATATAAATCGCTAGCAGTGCTAGACAAAACACTATCATACTCGTCGGTACAAAGAAAAGTATTCACAATTCACGGGTCCAAATTCCGGAACCCTAACCACTTGGCATCCTGTGCCCTCATTGCAAATTTATAACCACACTGGCGACTCACATACCAAGAGAGTCAATTCTCACATAGAAGGCAAGTAACAAAGGTGTGCATCAATACTCAACAATATTAAGATCCATCCTCTTAACCGATAGGAGTGCTTAACTACGTGTATGCTTGTGCAAGTGTTCTAACATAGATCATGCCAGCTAGTAAGTATAGAAAAAGAAACAGACAACACGTAGAATGTTTTCCCACCATTTCCACAAAAATAGAACTCACACAGGTAAGTGCATCACTGCACAAATATCAACAACAAGAATGCCCCCAGGCCATCACAAGTCATCACAAATTAATCCCTAAGGCCATCTCCAATGGTACTCTGTTTTTTGCACCAAATTGGCCATCACAAGTCATCACAAATTAATCCCTAAGGCCATCTCCAATGGTACTCTATTTTTTGCACCAAATCCAAATTTGGTGCAAGAAATAGAGTAAAATTGCTCCAATGGTACTCCATATGTTGCTCTATTATAGAGCATGAATAGTGTTGCACCAAATTTGGTGCAACACTATTCATTACTCTATATTTGGTTTAATAATATTTTATTCATTTTTTTTATTGTTGAACTTTTAATTAATTATATATTGTGTATATAATTAACTTTTATATTAAGATTTTTATAATTTTAATTTTATATCCTATTTTTTGATATATTAATTTTTGTATATATTATATTTATATAAAATTATAAGTTAATTTTATTATTGTTATAATTG